TATATTTATATATATATATATATATATATATATATATATATATAATAATAAGAACATGTTTTTGTTGTTGAATAACGTCCCGCGCGTCTATCGTAGGCATTACCCCATTCCCTAAATATATTCTCTAGTTCTCTTCTAGTTCCATTATGCCTCCCGTCGTCAATGAGATATAATAATATAACATACGATACAATTCTCTTCATTTGTTTACAATGCTTTTAAAAACGAGCTCTCTAAAAAGAAAAATGAGGGAGCTCCGATGCTGAAATGTCTATGTCTCGCGATAATGATATACGTTTATCTTAATGATAACTGCGTGTTTATTGGCTTCGTATATTTTTTGTTCAGTTTATTTGCTTATTATATATAAATATATATATATATATATATATATATATATATATATATATCTATATATACTGGGCTTCTCTCGATGATGGTGATGTCTAGGCAAGTGTGTGATGATGATGCTCTTGCACTGACGCATACATTTTTTTTTTTTATTCTTACTGACGCTTACGCTTTTACGAGTTCGTGTCTTGTGACGCGTTGGCTCGTTACAGGTCACCGTCGGGCATAAGGTCGAAGCGTGGTGGGAATGCGGAACCATCGAACAGGGGTTTGTTGAGCGCTGGTCGGTGTGGCTGTAACAGTGAAATTGTCATCGTTAGTTCCGTCATTATTTACCTCGCCCAATCGTCATTTCCATTTACACTTTACAAAATTACTCAAACTGGCAAATTCTCCTCGATTGGCTCAGTTGAATTATTAATAATTTTACGCAAAAATGTTGTTATGGACTAAGAAAGCACTCTAAACAAGTTTTAGAGTTATTGGTTGGTGGAAGACATTGCTTTCAACATAATTGTTGTTTACGGTTTCATGAAAAACACGAGGGTGCAGTGCGTTTTACAGCTTTGCAATGAAACGAGAGATATTAATTTTTCACTAGATAAAAAAAAAGGAATTAAGTGAATGGTTGATGAAATAGAGAGTAAATATTTGGCATATAATTAATGAAGTCAAATGAGAGATGCGAAGAAGGACTGTTTAATTTTTTTTTTTTTTTTTTTTGACGCAATGTAAATTATGTTCAAAATTTTTGCAAACTTGTATGGATGTGAGGATCGTATAAGACAATCGTTTCTTGGAATAAAATTCAAGTCGAGAAAGGAGATTTACAAATGCCATATATGCTAATGCTCTCTGATTTTTATTCAACAATGAGTCATCTCTTATAATTGAATGTAGATTTTAAATTGCAGATGCTAAGATATCTCCAAAGATGGATTATGATGTAGAAGAATAAATAATTTAGAATTTCCCGAGATGTAGTATAGTTGCCAAAAAAAAAAAAAAAAAAAAAAAAAAAAAAAAAAATTATACGTATGCATTTGATAATACATTTTTGTTTTGTTTTGTTTGTTTAAGAATAATTGTAAATACGACAAAATTTTGCAAAATTTGAGTTAGAACAATAGGGATTATAATTTCAATAAATTTTTACGGTCAAACTAAAATCTTTGTACAACATATATTGTAAGTAGGAAACATTAAAAACACATTGATTCTGTAGCTTCTTAATTTGATTAATTCTAATTTTAATTCACAATTCAATTATACTTTAAATAAATGCTTTCTTTATATATATATATATATATATATACATGCTTAAAGTGATTGATAAAAAAAATTTTTTTTTGAAATAAAGTAATATGAACGGTAAATTTGTAATGGCCAAATGTCACAAAATGCCATGAAAGTATTAAGGATTTATTCGGATGAATCGATCTAATATTCTTCCATAATAAACGTATAAATATTGTCACCACTGATAACGATTTATAATTAAAATATGGTCCAGCCAGGTAGGTAACATATAGTGAAAATTAACGGATAAATAGATGTTTAATGTAATGCAATACGAGGCTTTGAGGTCCGAACAAAAACAATTCTGGTTAGAACGCATATGAATACTATGTAATTGAAAAATAGTATTATTGAGGTGTTTCGGTTTCTTTGTCTAACTAAACAAGGCCAAAGGCAAATTAATCATATAGTAAAAATTTGTGGATATTGGGTTCACTGTTAGAATTTGCTTTGCGAATTCATCATCATTATTATTCCATATAAAACGTGTTTAAACTATGGATAATGAATTTTCTCGTATCGATATCACAATATTGTGTATTTTATCATTTATCCTGTATTTATAAACTGACTTTACTAATTGACGATAGTCAAACGATATTCAAGCGTCATAACGTTCATTATAATTAAAGTTCCGTCAATTTTTTTTAAATTGTTTGCTTTAATATAATAGCTGTAAAAAGACGAATAGACGCGCATAGAAGAATGCATTTTTTGTTATTTTAAATTTATTTATTTATTTTTTGTTTGTTTTTGTTTCGTTTGAAAAATTCAACGTTCCAATCTTCTCCAACCTCAAATCTTAACTCGATAGATAAAAAGATAAAATATGTTCCAATGGACAGGGCATTCGCAGTATCAAACAATATTCTCACAGTGTTGATTAATAACGGAAGGAGATGCGAGATGTACGGAATTACACAGGTGGTGCGTGGTAGCACGTAATCATCACTCAATGCACTTAAATGAAAGATCCGAATGGTCGTTTGACATGTGGTTGTGCGTTTATTATTATTATTTTAATTATTTATTTATTTTTTGATTTTTTCTTTTTTTTTTTTTTTTTTTTTGTGATTCTGTTTTTGTTTTGTTTAGCGAGGTGTTTTGGGTGGGACAAACTTACATGAACCGGCGCGGCGGTTTATTCCAGTGTGGGCGCTTTGCGGGCTTGCCCCTTCTGTCCGGGCTATATCGAGACATAAGAACCAATGAGCTTCAGTTAACTCGGCGAGCCATTTATTTACTAATCTACATCTCCCTATAGGCTGCTTCATAACTTTCATTGAAATGACAGGGGCTGGAGGCGCATCGTCACCCTTATTCCCGATTATGATGAAATATTACATATTCGTAGAGAGCGTTCGTAGTGACGAGTTTTTACGCCCCTTTTCTCATATTCAATGACAATTATAAGCAGTCATAAGCTTTCTTACGAAACAATTATAATCATTGTAACAATTGTTTAGCAGCCATTGGTTATATTGCCATTAGGTAGATAGATTATTAAATCTACATAACATCTACGTAACAAAACATTCGATAGATTTGAAAATTTTTTCTCACTTATAAAGTGTTTCTTGATTTTTAATACGAGAGCATATTAATAGTCGCGTAATTCAAAATATCATAATAGCAGAATAAAATATCCGTGGAATAATAATAAAGATTTTAATTTTCAGCCTATTACGTCGTAATGTCGCGTTCTATTAATGTCCATAATTATTATTTGTTTTGCATTTAATAGAGGTAATTTGGCAATAATGGAGGATCGGTTCGCCAGAGTCCGAGTCAAAAATTATCAACTTGAGAGAGTGAGATAGAGTCTGCGGTACCGCAATTCATTTATCGCAAGGCATTAATTGAAACTTACCGCTGGGCTGAGACCGCGAGCAGCACTTCCTCCACGTCCCTTGGTACGGAACTTGGCAATTGCCTGTTCCGCAAGATCCGCCCTCTCTTCGGCTTCTTCGAGCTCCTGCTGAGCCTTGCGGAACTTGGCAAGATTGAGGGCGGCGATTTCTTCGGCCTCTTCGATTTGCCTCTTGTACGTCTTGATCTTCTGTTGCAATTTGTCAACAAGGTCCTGCATGCGCTCGTGGTTCTTGCGATCCTCGTCCGCCTGTGGAACGAATGAGAAAAATTTGATTTGATGTTGCAAAGGAATGGCCGGGCGTTTAAAACTCGCCGCTCCTTGGCCATAAAGAATTAACGACGGACCTGGAAGGCGAGTTCCTTGATACGACGCTCGGATTTGCGCAAGTTCTTCTGCGCGTCAGCGTGTCTCCTTTGTTCCCCGTCGAGCTCGTTCTCGAGTTCGCGCACGCGTTGTTCCAATTTCTGGATGGCCTTCTTACCTCCTTTAAGGGCGTTCGCCTCAGCCTCGTCGAGGCGTACCTGGAGATCCTTGATTTGGGTCTCAAGTGCCTTGCGTAATTTCTCTTGAGTCTGGGCATGATCCTGCTCGGCTCTCAGCTCATCCGCAAGTCGCGCAGCATCGACCATCGCTTTCTTTGCCTTCTCCTCGGAGTTCTTAGCCTCGTTCAACAGCTCATCCAAATCGGACTACAATTACACGGAAATGGGAGCTTAGAACTTGTTGCAATGTGTTGCAATGCGCGCTCGATTAGCAATAATTAGCAATATCGACGCGCAACAAGTTAGAAAATAAATTAAACGACTCTTATCACTTATTTGTAACAAGAATTAAAAAAAAAAAAAAAAAAAAAAAAAACACGCACTAGTGAAGAAATAATTGATTCCAAGGACTCACGTGAAGAGTTTGGAGCTCGGACTCGAGTTTTCTCTTGGCTGCCGAGATGCTGGCGTTCGCCGCACTAAGCTCATTGAGTTGCTCGTGAGCATCGGCCAATTCCTGCTCGGCCTGTCTGCGGCCGCGATCTGCCTGCTCCAGGAGTTGACGGCTCTCCTCGAGCTCGTTCTGTAAAGCATTGGCGCGTCTTTCGCTAATTCCAAGAAGTTCGCGTGCTTCGTCGCGCGCTCGCTGTTCTTCTTCAAGGGCGGTCTGCACGTCCTTAAGCTGTTGCTGATACCGTTTGATATTCTTCTGAGCTTCGGCGTTGGCCTTGTTAGCGTGGTCCAAAGCGATTTCGAGCTCGTTAATGTCAGCCTCGAGCTTCTTCTTCATGCGCAGTGCCTCAGCTTTACCCTGTTGGTCAATGAATAACGAGACGCATAATTAAGGCAAGGATTTTTATTCCACATGGCTATTTAATTAATGATAATTGCTTACATATATATATATATATATATATATATATATATATATATATACACATGTGTATTAGTAAGTGACAATGACCATTTGGTATGTAATAACATTTCTATGATTCTTATATTTTGTAATTTTATGGAATGGTTATAGATTATATTTTACGAAACGAGTGTGTCGACGATTGATTACGTAGGTTGTAATAAAATTTCAATGAAAAAGGCATTTTTAAGTAGAATAAAAGCTTACCTTGGCCTCAGCCTCGAGAGAAGCTTGCATAGAGTCAAGCGCGCGTTGATGATTCTTTCTGGTGTTCTCGAATTCCTCTTCCTTCTCCTGAATGCGTCTGTCAATTTCTTGTCTGACCTGACTGAGCTCCAATTGACTGCGGAGCACTTTGTTCTCCTCTTGCTCAAGAGCAGCCTCGGCTTCTTCCAAGGCAGCTTGGAGTTCGTCTTTCTCAGCCTCCAATCGCTTTCTCGCCTTTTCGATTTCGTGGATATTGCGGCCACCCTCACCGATCTGGTCGAGCAGATCTTTAACTTCGTCCGCGAGATTCTTGTTTTCACGACGAACGGCTTCCAATTGTTCTTGGCTTTCCTCGTATGCTCCTGTCCACAAAAACAAAAACAATAAAAGTTATTGTTTACACTTCCATCGACTTATTTACGAATAAATTTATTTACGAATAAATAAATAAATAAATAAAAAAAATTTTTCCTTTCAATCGTTGAAATTTTATGTTTATGATTGATATTGATCGACGTGACTTCGTGGATAACGTTGTTCTTATTAAACACTTATATAATTTTATGTTTATTTTGAAAATTCGAGGACAATCGCAGGAATAAACTCTACGCCTCTAATGTAAAATTGAACATTACTATTAAATAAATCTACTTGACTGACGCATTTATATGGAATAAATTAATCCTCCAATGAAGTATCATTATCACTGGTCACATGATCAACGAGCACCAATAAAAATACTTGCCCTTAAGCCTAAAGAGTTCGGTACTGTAGTTGCGGCATTCTTTCTGACTGGCATCGAGTTCGGCAGCCAAATCATCGACCTTGAGCTTCCATTCGCCAATGATCTTGTCAAACGCCTTTTGCTTCTTCTCAGCGGCGTTGGCAATAGCTGTTGCACGATCGACTTCCAACTGGAGATCTTCGACCTCGGTGGCAAGACGTTGTTTGGTCTTCTCGAGGGCGATGACCTTCTGGTTAAGAGATTCGATGGTTTCCTCAGCCTCGGCCAGACGGCACTGTAGTTTGCGCTTAGCCTCTTCCAGCTCCTCAGCACGGGCAACACCTTCGGATTCGTACTTGGTGCGCCAAAGTTGGGCCTCGGCATTGGCCTTGCTGAGTTGTCTCTGCAGATCGGCCTTACCCTCGGCTTCTTCCTCGACCTTTAATTGCAATAAAGATTCGTGAATTCGGTTGCTTGATTATTACTTTCCATATAAAAAAATGGTGGATAATACGACGGATCTAATGAGTTTGATGTATTACCTGTTCGCGAATGTTGTCAAGATCGTGTTCCAAGTTGCGGAACTTGCCGAGCAAAGTGGCACGTTCGCGTCCTTCTTCGTCGGCGAGTCTCTTGGTATCTTCGAGCTGCGTCGTAAGTGAAATCTTGATCTTGGATAATTGGTTGACCTGAGATTCGGCTTCTTCGAGCTGGCGAAGAAGGTCGCTATTTTCGATCGACAACTTCTTCTTGGCGGCATCAAAGTCGTTGACCGTACGGGTTAGCTCTTCGATTTTGCCTTGGGCCTCGTTAAGTTGGTGTTGAAGTTGCTTGGCAATCTTTTCTTGAGCAGCCTGTATTGTTTTTTTTTTTTTTTTTTTTTTTTTAAATGAAAATAAATATTAGTTAGAACAATGGCATGGTTTACGGATTTTTTTGTTTGTTTGTTTTACGTTGATCCGATAAACACGTTGTTTGTGTCGATAAAGATTTTCAGATATAAGATTAAAAAAAAAAATCAAATAAATTATTATCGTGTATCGATAGTGGTGTTGAGTAGGAAAAGGCACTTTTGTAGATAAACAAAATTGCGGATTACTGCGGAAGTTAAATTATGCTTACAATTAAACGTGATTTAACAATATCGGCATTTCATCTACATTCAAAATTATTTTAAAAGGCAAACTAAAATAGACAATGCACTTTTTACATAAATTTTAATTTACGTTAACGACACATGGCGTCTTTATATTGATCATCGTAATGAGAAGAAAATATTAATATGAAAGTAGGTAAATTTTACTTAAAAAAGCGAATAATAAGCAAGCAAAAAGAAAGCAGAGGGAAGCAGATTAGCGGTATTGTCGTGGCATATTTAGAATACAAAAACCATCGGGAATGATTGGAGGAATTGTGGAGTGGTAGGGAGGGGGGAGGGGGGGTGGGGTTAAGAGGGGGTATTACAATGTAATGCGAAGCAGCTTCTCATCTTCTTCTGCATAATTCCACGCATAGCCGAGCATTTTTCTGCATTAATTGCGTTAATTTATTAGTTCTTAATTTTTTCCGAGTTACTTTAATTTTAAGGAAGAATGCGACTTTGGGCATTACCTTTTCATTGCTAAGATGATCGACAGTGGCACGAAGGTCGTTCAATTCACTAAAGTATTGAACCTTTTCTTTCTCAATCCTGTTAATAAAATTATTAAATGGGTTAATAGTGCGAAATAACAGTGAATGCTTGATTAACGTCACTGTCTGCTGCATTCTCAGGATATTATTGCTCGTCGATATTTTCCTATAAGAGTCTGAAAGACAATGACATCTTGATTGGAGAAAAGGAGCTTCTCCTTGCACGAAAAATAACAAAAATCAAGGACTCTGGTAGCTTTAGATAATAAATTATTCGGAGGTGAAACGTTAGTAAATTACTTAATCGACAAGAGGTAATTCCAACATTTGGATTAGTCGACGAGAGTAATTATAGTATTACCCAATAACGATGATCTGTAATATTTTTTTTTTTTTTTTTTTTTTTTTTTTTTTTTTTTTTTTTATAGAGAAATTGATAAGAAGAAAAAAAAACGAAAAAATTAACGTAATATTATGACACAAAAGTGTGAAATGAAAATTGGGAAACATGCAGGCGACATTTCGAGTGTCTACCTTTTCTCTCGCGACTCCGTCAATGGCAGCGCGGGAATTGTTCAGCTCGACGTGGATGTCATTACGGCCTTTTTCGGCCCTATTAAACATACGTTAATATATTCTTATGGTATTTCTATTTCCCCGTACGTGAACTAAATTTATCATTCTCGCTCATTTCATTTCTACGAAGCCCTCGATGTACTTTAGCATAATTGTATTTCAAAAAATTTTCAAACTATTTAAAATTCATTTTTAGCCTTGGCAATTGGCATCATTAACGAGCCCAAGCAATTTAAGGTGAAAAAGTCGATTTCATTAATGAAAAGTGTCTTCCCATTCTAAGACAGTTACTATAATAAAAATGGAAAAACAGCGAGTCGAGTTACTTTGTAATAAATTCGCTATCGTAACAACAATCTAGGCGACGAGCGAATAATTCAATATTATTATCATTTAAAAAAAAAAAAAAAAAAAAGAAAAATAGTGACTCCCATCTGCGCCATCAATCATTTAATAAAGAAAGTCGCGACTGGCATTTGCCTCGTAGAATCTTGGTGCGGCAGGTGGTGGGGAAAAATTAAACTTGCCTGGCCTTGATCTTGTTCAGCTGGTCAATCTGCTCTCCCATCTCAGCAACGGCGTCGTTGTGCTTCTTACGAAGGATGGCCAGGGCGGACTCGTGCTGGATATTGGCTTCCTCGAGGTCCCTGCGGAGTTTGCTCAGCTCGGCCTCGCGCTTCTTGTTCAGCTCGATCTGGGCCGACGTGGCACCACCGGCTTCCTCGAGACGCTCGCCGAGTTCTTCGAGCTCCCGGGCTAAGTCACTGCGTTGCTTCTCAGCCTTGGCACGTGCTTGCCTCTCAGCTTCCACCTAATCGATCATCACGACGTTAATTATACGTCCGTATGGTCATGAATCAGATACTATGATAATGATAATTGTTGCCTCGCACTTTACAGAGGCGCCAATAGCTTACTTTATCACGTTACTCACCTCTTCTTCGAGCTCTTCAATACGGGCTTGGAGTTCCTTGACTTGTTTCTGTTGTTTGCCAACCAGAGCTTGTTCGTCCTCGAGTTTGGCTGTGAGGGAGGAAAGTTCCTTGTCCTTGCGTTGGATAGTTTGCTCGAGCTCCTTCTTGTTTCTCTCGAGGTCAGCAACGGCTTCCTGCGTAAGCTTGAGGTCGCCCTCGACCTTTCGCTTCGTCTTCTCGACATCAGCACTAAATTATCGATAAAAATAATGAATTTTCTCCAAAACTCCCTTACTGGCTAACAACTAGGATGAAGGATTTTAATCCGGCGATCGTCTACGTTCAAACCAATAAGAGCGTCAACGGAAGAATATAGAAAATTAAGTTAACAAGCACTCGAGTGCCATCTAGACTCTTCCAAAAATAAAACCAAATGCATTATCTATATAAAAATAGATAAAGACGGGATTAAAATACTTTTATTAATTGTTATTGAGAAGAGTTTGTAAATAGCGTTTATAAATTATTTGTAATACGTAATGTCGAATTATATCGCCCTTATATGCGCAGTTAATTATTTAACGTTAGAATATTACGATTTATAATAGGATCCATCTGTATGATGGATTTATGAAACAAATAATATTAGACCTCAAACAAATATTAATATTGTTGATAGGATAAATGTTTCTTGAAAGTAAAGTATTAAATGTAAATATTGATGATTATGTAGATTAATGGTGAGGAAATAGCTTACCGGGATTTCTTTTCGCGCTCGAGGGTATCTTCTAATTCGTCGAGGGTCTGTTCGAGCTTTAGCTTGACTTTGTTGAGGTGATTAACTTTGTCTTCGGCGGCCTGGAGCTCTTCCGCTGTCTTTTGGTTCACTTCGCCCTGATTCTTTTTCTCTTTGTTCAATTTATTGATGAGCTCGTCTTGATGGGCGATTTCATCGTTGAGGTTACGGATTTGGTGGTCTTTCGTTGCCTTGTCCTGCTCACTCTTTTGCACAGTTAATTCGAGATCCTCCAAATCTTTCTTCAATCCAGAGATTTCCTGTTCTAACTTCTTCTTTGACTGGAACAAGTTGTTTCTTGCCTCCTCTTCCTGTTGGAATCTATCCGTAATGTCCTGCAAGACGAAGTATTAGTATTAATACTTCAATACATTGAACGTACTTGCTCTCGTGAATAGTTGATTAAATTGTTTATGTTAAAATACCGATAGTTTGTATATTTGTATTTTGCATAATAATTAAAAAAAAAAAAAAAAAAAAAAAAAAAAAAATAAAAAAAAAAAAAAAAAAAAAAAAACAAAAATTATTAACAAAATAAAAATTAAGTCACGCGATATTTGCATTATGACATAAAAATCATTAGAAAAGATACGAGATATTTACGAATATGTATTATTATGGGCAGATTTAATTAATTTAATTACGCTATTAATTCAACGGCTTATTTTTATTTACATATGTGTATATAATAAATACGAAGATGGTATATAATTGTTATAGATAGGGATTGAGAATACTCAAATCATTAAAATTGCCATATTACCAATTATTAATGTTATTTATAAAATGAATGGATATTTTATATTTGTTTATAATTCACAATACAATGATACTAATTTAGCTATTTATATAGATATATTTTGCATATTAATCACTTTAATGGGATAATGGTGCTTCTTTTTATAAACACCTTGACCAAAGTAATTTAGCTCACGCCACAAATCGAAACCTACGACGCTCAAGTTCCAGTTTCCTCATTTTCACGTATAAATTTGGCTCATAAAGCTCACCGACTGTGCTTACCAGCAATATAATTAATTAATCGACCTACAGCTATTTAATAATATCCTATACATAATCTAAAAGTCTAATTTAGTACGTATAATTTAATGGTTCACATAAATTAATTGTGTCTATTTATTAGGATTTAATTTATGTGCAATATTTTTGAACGAATGTAAAATTAAAATTTGAGATAGATTTTACAGGTTGCCCATTGCAGCGATATCGTTATTATCAAATTTTTATCGTTATATGTCAACTTGACATACAAGCATTAATAATATTAATAATAAGTGTTGCCAAATGCAGTAATAAAATATTGTTCTAAAATCATCGATTGTATTATACGACGGAAACAATTAAGAAAGTTCATTCGTCATTCGTCATTCGTTAAATGTAAGGCCTTGAGCCAAGGAATAATTGATATTATTCTTCTGCATTTCCTTCATTCCACTCGTTTCATTTATTTCCCGGACTTTTACATCTATTTTGCTTAATTGTAATCGAATATTTTATTACAGATTTTTTTGAAAAAAAAACCAAAAAAGTACTTGAAACTATAAAAATCGGTGACAAATGATTTTAAATGTAGAAAAATGGAGAAAAAAAATTACGTAATAATTGATTATTTTATTATATGTTTTTTTTTTCTTTTTTTTTTTTTTTTTTTTTTTTTTTTTTTTATTAATTATAATTTCTATACATTCTTAGAATAATTGATGAATTATGCAAAAAAAAAAAAAAAAGATTGAATATTCGTAAAAATGTAATGATATTTAATAGTAATTTTATCTTATAATTATCTTATAATTTATAATTAATAACATCTTTCTTATCATATTTTTATCAGTATTTTGTACGTCCATTACCACGGAATATTAGCATTGAATTATTACATATTGTTGTTATTACAATTAAAGAGTGATAAATTTTAATGGTTTTATTAAGATATTATTTAATAACTTATTATTATTCACGTACTTGATACACTTGTAACTTAATAATTTCAATCTATACTCCTAAGTATGAATTAGAAAAATCATTTATCGTATTGATGCGAGAGTTTGTATGTAAATTTGGAGCTTTCATTTCATTTAAACAATGATGCTACGAGTGGGCCACTCATGCTCTACAATACTCATTATTACTCACATTTATTTCTTTTCCCCTCGTTGTTTACATTCCCTATTCATCATTTCACTTCCTTGTAGACGAGAGGTTGAACCATATCATTTCACAATATTGGCAATTTTTCTCCGTTCAACCTTCAAGTTAAATATCTCTATAAATAATCGCTACACCTGTTCATTCATTCCCTTCCAATCGTACAGTGGAGAAAGTAAGGTACGGGACAAAAATTATTAAGAGGTCATAGCACCGCCCACTTTTAATAATCTGGAATACTTGGCGTGTATCGCCTGCCAGTAAATTTAGAAATGCTACTTATACCCGCCCTTCCGCAGATCATGTAGCCTACCTTAAATGGCAACTGCTTGTTCATATAGTTTGCCCAGCGATCTAGCCAAGATGGTTGAAAAAGAAAATCATCAATAATTTTAATATCCCGGGGCTTTCTACTTGAAAAATTATTGGACGATAAGTGGAGGTTTGAGGGTGTAGCAGTGAGAGGAGAATTCAAACTGGTGATAGAAAGCCACGTAGGAAGTTTCATAATCTCATATGACAATAAAAATAGTGTTGTTGTAAAGTAAATTCTAATTTTAAATTTGGATAAATTAAACTTATGATGTGTGAATGGCCGTTATTTTAAATTATACAGTAAATAATGCTTAGTATAATGTCTGTATAGTGGCAGTGAAAATTAATTTACTTATTGTATAATCATTAAATAAGATTTTACGATTATGTGCAATCAAGTATTAAGTACTTTGTCGCGCATAAAAATAATGTTTAAGAAAATTGTAGAAGCAATTTAATTTAGACTTATCATACTGATTTATTATTGAAATTTTAAAACATTTTATTTTAAAATTTATGATAATTCAAATACACTGCTATAGGTTTTTGTGGCTTATATCGATTCTATCTATAGTTGGACTGTTTTTTAAGGACTCGTAGCAGTTATGCTGGGAAGAACGATAATAATTATATTTATAAATAGCTCAATATAGGAAAAAATTTTCATGAATAATTAACTATTATTGTTTGTTCTTACTTAATTTAAAGCCTTCTTCGTGCGATTAGACATTCGTAGAATATAAGAGTCGACTCAAATTTAGAATTTAGCCGCAGCTTCTCCAGCTATTTATCTCTGGAATTTCAGTCATTTTGCAAGCACTATTCTCTCCATGAGCTAATATTACAGTTTTAAATAAAGGTAGTCCGGAACATTTATCAAATTGTCACGCTCGTTAGCTCCCCCGCACTTTTCGCGGGCACTCGACTCTGGAATGCCCAAGATATTCGGTTGAATCGCTCGAGAAAAAAAATTCGACTCACGATGCTTCGACACGATATTGCCTGAATAATTTTAGATGGTGACGGATCTTGTTGTAAGCCTGGCGCAGAAATAGATATCGTTCTCGAGATTTGTTGAAAAAATATCTACGCGAGGGGAGCTCAACGACGGAGAAGCTACGCTGGATGATTTTCAATCGGTCTGACGGAGCGCCGCTCTTACTACTGACACATGTTATTGTCATTCTAGTCAGAATCTTGGACACTTATTTCTTATATTTGCTCAAATATTTTTAATCTGCATATTACATAGATTTTTAAAGTCATATCAACTTATTATGATATAAATATGGTATTTAGAAAATTCTTAAAATGCATTTATTGCGTAGTTGAAAATTAACTCATGAAAAGATTATTAACTCTACAGGATCAGACAGTTTTTAAATAATTTATTAATATAATGCTTCTACAAAATTTAATTTCACTACTCATCTCTTATATGCAACTATAATATATTTTTTCTCTCTCATCCTTTTGGAATTTATAGACAAATAATAATAATAAAATGTATTGGAGAATAATTTACAACTAATCTATTTTTATTTATATCCAATATTTCCTAAATGCTTTTATATTTCACTGTAAATCTCAAACTAAAATAATTTATATATATATATATATATATATATATATATATATATTACAATTACTTGACTATTTTACATATTATAATTTACACGTTACGACTTACAAGAAAATCTAATGGGTTCTTAAAAAATCCTTATAAAATCTATCCATACAAATTACATTTTATTCCTATTTTGTACTTTTCTCGATAATTATATTTATTTACTCATTTATTTGTTTTTTCAAGTTTGCAGTAATAGCCTTGGTAAATTAATTATATTATTGGCAGATACAAGGTGGATTGTTGTGTAAAAATTATTTACCGATCATGAGAAATTGTGAAATCAATCTGTACACATAAATTGCATCATAAAATACATAAATGGATTGTGGCTTTGTTAAGTCGAAAAACTTCATGATCGAGCTTTTGCCATAATTCAGCCTCGATCAAGCCCTTAACCCCTTTCTTTAATAGTTTCATTAGATATTCAATGATTATTTCTAAAATTTAATTTTCATCATTCACACACCTATACACACCTACGCGCGCGCAAGCACATACCAATACCTTTATGAATACAATGATATATACATGTATGATAATGTTTGTAATTTAATTTTACTATATTAAATACTTACTGTATTAAGTATATTATGATATTGTTTTTATACAAAACAATTTCCCAAATTTTTAATTTTTTGCAACATTAAATGGTGAATGATTTTAAGGGATTTTTATCAAATTGTTAATTTATTATATTTTATAGTATATAAAACTATATAAAATATTTATTCTATGATATATTATTAAACTCGTACTACTTAAATGAGTATAAATACATATATAAATATATGTGTTTTTATCTTTTTTGCATATAAGTACGTGAGTTTATGTGTGTGCGTGCGTATGCAGTAGTTATGCAGGTGCGTGCGCGTTTGCTATTTGTGTACGGAGGGTATTCCAGTGAGAATTAAAATGTATCGGAAATAGAGTGATAAAATTTAAATAGCAAAATGTATTTGTAGAATTTACTACCTATTGAATCAAACGATGTTTAAATGTAAATTTTTATAACGTTGACTATGTATAATTTCGTCGTCGTCGTCGTCGTCCTCCCCCCCCCGCTCCTTTTGTCTAGAGTGTTGTTTTAATTTGTGAAAGATGATTGAATGTTTGATAAAATACTTACCGAAAGTTGGGACTCGAGGTCAGCTTTTTGTGCTCCCAACTTGAGAGCCTTCTCCTGGTATTCGGACAGCGAACCTTTTTCGCTATCCAGAGATTTGAGGAGGTCGGTCTTCTCCGTGAGAAGTTTGGTATTGAGCTCCTCGAGTTCGATACGCATCTTCTCTTCCCGCTCGAAGGCTTCTTGATACTTGCGGGCCTTTTCCTCCATCGCCTGAAAATCTCCATTAGCCTCAGATACATTATTACCCGATTCCTCCATTTTGACTTCTCTCTTTGCCAAAAATTCGTTAATCGCGCTCTTCTCTTCCTTAATATCTCATTGATTATCGAATATCCTATTTAAATCGTAAATTGCTTGCAGTCAATTTTCAGTCTTTGCTCAAACGTGGAATGAACGTGAAATAAAGTGAGGAGGATGGACACGATTATCCGTATCAGATGAGATTGTCGTTTGATCACGAGTTATAAGATCTCGGATGATTTCACGATCAATCGTTGCAGTCAAACTCTTTTTCACGTTTAACGATAGAATTTTGATCCTTCCTTTTGTTCCTTAATTCTTAATTCTTGCGCGTCTTCATGAAAATTCCATTAAGTTTGCTCTCTTTCTTAAAAACTGGGATACATACTGGTGTCGCGATCCTTTTAGGCATATTCTTTAACAAGAGGGAATGACTTTGCATGCGCGCTTATGCATATGTTAATCTATTTATACATGTGCGTATGTATTCGAATTCGTTCGTTATTAAACGGGAGATTAATATTAATCGTGTTGTATGTCGTCCGATAGTAAGTCGAGAACTGTGTGCGACTTTACGCGACTTCGAACTTTTCTACCTTCCTCCGACGATTACCCAGTACTGTTAGGGGACTGATTTCCCCTACCACGAGTGCCAATGATGTAGCAGCATCTCATCGCTTCTTTAAAAATATTTATAACTGATCTCGGAACGTGATATGTCTGTACGATTCTCCTCCCACCCCCTACCGCCACTCTCTCCCTTTATTTGTTTTTCTCACTCACTCGGTTATTAACCGCCTCTCTCTCTCTCTCTCTCTCTCTCTCTCTCTCTCTCTTTCGCGCGCGCACAGGCATGCACGCACATACTTTGTTTCACACTTGGGCTACCATAATCTCGAGCTGGCAATTAAGAGAGAAGAGAGCTAAAAATATTGAGCGAATCACACGAGATTTCGGGAGACGCGAGCTCAGTGTGGAGAGGGTAGTGGGAGAATTTTCTCCAGTAGATACGGGACGACTCCAGCGAGACTCGGAAAGGCGAGCTTCGACGGCTAAGCGTACGTGTACGTATTTAGACGGGCGCCTCTTTCGTGAAATTCAAGAACGAGTGTACATTTTGCTTCTTCCTTTTTTCCGAACGAAGCGGAGAATTTATTTCCTCGACGAATTAATGTTGCCGCGCTTTAGAATAGCGACCGCTCCTCTATTATTAGAATATGAGAAATCTCGATCAAAAGTCTATAATGTACGGATTCTGCCGACACGTGTTAATAGTTAAATTAGAGCAATATTAATTGACATAAGTGAAAATAGTATTAGATTTATAATGATAATGTGGGACATTGCTAATAAAGTAATAATATGTATCAAAAACCAAAAGCGTTATTACGTTGGTCGTTTATTTATAAAAGTAAATTTTCAGTTGCTCGATGTTGGCAAAAGTAATTTCCAATAATAATTTGAAATATTCTATGCGATGTATTTCATTTGAATTTCTGTATTATCGTTCGTATCTGTATTTTTCTTACATCCCAAATGGCCATCTAACGACTCTTATGAATAAAATTTGATAATGCTGTTTATTTCTATATTGACTGCTGCAATTACTTAAGAGTAATGTGATATTAATCAATAAGTATTTTCAATATCGTTAATACAATTCGTGAGATTTCGATAAGAAAGAGATGCGCTAAAGTTTCTAATTATAAAAAGATGTAATTGACAGGACGTAAAGAGAAGTCGAAGGATGATCTACGAATCTATAATCGAATAAAATAATTCATACATTAGTACGTTTCTTATTATCGGCATAAAATAATAATTATAATAATAATAACAACATTAATTTAGCTATTTCACTACAGTAATCTCGTTTAATTTTAATTGATGCATTAGTAGTGATATTTAAAAATTTTACCCACAAAACATTGATTACCAAAAGCTATATATATTTATTGACTTTGTACAATAAAATCAAATATTATTTCTTTAAGTTTTTATAATTATAGATAATTATTATTGGTTAAGTCATATTAAATTGTTGAAGGTCATAAAATCGATAGTTAGTCATAAGACAATAATATCCGGTAACTTTTTGAAAAGTTATCCGTGAAAATTCTCGATACGTCATTCAAATAAACATTATAAAATTTAATGTATTACTAATTCAAGCCTGTGCTTTTAACAAAAACATTAATGTCCTTATTATTAGAATTTGAAATTTATGTAACTGATGATCATTAAGTTTACATAAAGTACGGTGCGTAAGTTTAGTATATATATATATAATAACAAAATAATGTTTCACGAAGTATTTGTAATGTCCAACAGTAAATCTTAATTGCTACTTAACCCTTAACCAACATATTTATTTGTCTTTTTTTTTTTTTGTTGTTTTTTTTTTTTTTTAATTTTATTTATTTATTACTTTTTTTATTCTTATTTTCTCTCTCGGAATGATTAGATAGATAGAAATCTTATTCAAACTCGATGCTCTATTGTTATTCGACTATAGTCACTCGACTTGTAATCAAACACGAAATATTGTCGATCTCGTAGATCATTGGAATTGGGATAAATTATGAAGCAGAAGGTCCATAATAAGAAAGTCGAAGCGCAATGGAGAGCCGAAGGATGACTGTCTTGGACTTACGGCAAGCTCGTCTTCGATGCGAGTAGCATTGAGGAGAGGCCTGACTTTCTGCCACAACTTCCACCATGGCCAGGTACGCAGCTTAAGGTATCTGCGAAGATTCCTTTGGACAATTTGAAGAGCCAGACGCTGCTCTTGCAGGGCCTTGAAGTCCTTACGGGCGAGGTAACCGCGCACGTAAGCCTGCATCCAGGTGACGATTTTGCTGAGACGTTCGTCACGGAACTCTTCCATTTGACCCAAGACTCCGGCACGGAAGAATACCTGTTAATACCAAGTTCGGGAGGCTCGATTATTATCTATCGGTTTATTCTGTCTCCTTGCCTATTCTGCGGCATTGCATTTGATTTTTTGACGACAGCTTAACAGGTAACCTTCCACGTATTTTATACTTTGCACCCTACAAATTATTTATTGAGAGAGGTCAAACAATCGTACGCTGCGCATTGTAAATTAATTTTACTTTAATAGTAGGTAATTGGCATTTTAATTTGATTTTAGTTAGGCTTTGTAATTCCTTGTGAATTAGAAAGTGCTGGAGAGTTGCATTTATTGATTATATGCCTCTAGTGGAGAGTTAGGTAAGTCGGTTTGTAACTCGGTTCTATTTGACGATGCGACGAATAGTGAAAATTACGGAGGCAAATGTAGAATTGAATGATAAATAGTTGGCATATATCTATATTCCAAGGTCTTTTGCCAAAATTATGGATTCTAGACCCGGAATTTTATAGGATTTTAGAACGAGGATTATTGAAATTTTTTACTTTGACCTTTAACGTATGCTAAGATATACGTAAAGCTATACATAAATAAGCTTATAAATCAAATTTTATAGCTCTATTTGAAAATTACGCATAAACTGTCGTCATATGGTTTTATTGTTAAGTAGAATATTTGTGAGAGGGAAGAGAAAAAGAATGAAGAAAAAAAAAAAAGAAAAAAAAAAGTACAAGAAAGAAAGTTAATCACATTCGTTGAAAAGTTTAATTTCATTATTGTCTTGTTAGAAAGTAATGAGACGTTGAAAATTATACCTGATGAAGAGAGATTTAAGCTATTATTAGAGTGACATAAACACTGATAATAATAAATATTAAATATTAAATATTAAATTCCATTTGTGGAAATACGAAATTTATTCCATTATAGCTCAAATCTTTCGTGGATAAGTACAAGATTTCAAACAATGTCGGTGTATTATTCATATAAGCAAAATAGCTTTCTCGCTAAAAATTACGAAGTCCATTCTCAAAATTTTCCGAACTTCGTCATTTTTTCACTTAAATTTTATTCGTTAATTTGCGTAAACAGATTTTGTTACGTACGGGACTTTCGTTATGATTTATCATTGGAACATTTGTTAGTACACGTTTTAGCCATGTTGTTTATGTACTCGTTTGCAGCGGATTAGGACGCTCGGCTTTAAGAATTTTTGAAGGCTACAGAAGATCGACGTTATCGAGCACTTTTAGCCATAAATTTTTATACCAAAGTCACTTATTAATTATAACGGCCAATATAAATGTCGCGCAAATTGTTCGTTTCGAAATTTATAATTTATCTTAAAGCCGCATTTTATTAAATTGTACAGGAGTATAGTTAAGGCAACGTTAAGAAGGAAAAAAAAAACTGTTATAATGAAATGCATTTTCTGAATGAATATGCATTTTAGAATTATTGTTACAGGCGTTGAAGTACCTTACTGGCACCTAGGCGATATTGATCGGAAGGTACAATTTCTTCAAGGATAATTGAGCTGGCTTTCTTTGGATCCATGCCGTCTGTCACTTTTTTGGCGCACAGAATTTTGTATCTGCATTGCGATTCATGGAGTACAGAGAAAGCGACAGAGATGGTTGTATATAGGATACAATACACGGATATGGATGAACATATAAAAAAAAAAGAAGAAAAAAAGAAAAATGTCGAGCTTGTTAGAAATATCGTTGCACTCCCGATCGTTTAAAGCACGAGAGTGCAGATGGTTTTAATGCGTACGTCAAAGATAACCCAAACGATACTTTCACTTTCATCTTTAAAATTCTTACAGCGTACAACCGCGTGCACAATAATTAAAATTTTATTCAAAGTTATCATTTAGAGCAGATAATAATGTCCCTTAATTTGGCATCAAGATTTGTAATATAATTAACGATGATTTTAAAATTAGACATTATTTTATGTCTGCATCGGAGAAAGCAAACAGAAAGCAACTAACTACTCGGGTGAAAATGACAATCTCACCATCAGAAATTTACGAATTATGTCATTTAATGGAATATTAAGAAATAAAAGCGAATGTATAAAATGGGTATAATCACAGAATCAGTGATCCATATCTTTTCGGTTCATCCTGAGTGGGGATCGAGGATAATGTATTTTCGACTTCTTAAAGATTGTCGCTTAATATCCATCCATATGGTATTACTGGATCAGATATCTACGTACTACGTTTATTGTCCCATTTACGTATTGCGTGTATTTAGGATTCAAGGATCGTTCAAACAGACATCAGCTGGACTATCGTATTTATTATGAGATGCGAAAAATTGAAAGTATATATTGGTTTTTTTTCTTTCTTTCTTTCTTTCTTTCTTTATTTCTTTTTTTTGTTTTTTTTTTTTTTTGTTTTTTGTTTTTTGTTTTTTGTTTTCTGTGTATTTTGGCATTTCGTTAAGTGACGCGTAAATTAAACAAAACTGCCTTCAGTTCGTGATATTATGCTTTTTCTTTTCCATGCCAACGTTAAGTATGCGTTGTAATTACACTCATAAACAAACTCATAAAAATGGATAATAGAATATATCAAGTGTTACGTAATATAATGTAACGCGCGCAATACGTTAAGCGTAAAAACTATTTGTATCTATTGAGATAAAATACAACAGTAATTTGACAATCAGAGTTTGACAATGGTTTTTGAAAACTTTCTATTTTTCTCTCATATCGTCCAGAGATGTTAATTTAGATGTAATTATAGAGAAACGAACTTCGTTTCTTATGTGATTTACGATAATGTATGAATTATATTAATGGGGTCTATCAATAATTCTACAAGTGGATTACAAATGGAAATTAAAAGCAGGCTGGAACACTCACCCCGTCCCTTCAGGGCTATAAAATAACGTTTATGATTTTTTTTTTTGTTTTGTTTTTGTTTTTTTTTTGTTTATGAATAACGCATTTAAATACTAAACAAGACAAGACATTGAAAAATTGGGTCAAACTTTGCATATTAATAAAGACAATTGTATTCGAGCGTGAAAACATCTTCTTACATTAAAATGACAATTTTAAGCCAAATTTTAAATTCGCTTTTCATAGTTATTAACAGCTTATCGGACATGTACAATAAATTTCGTGCTTTCATTGTCATTATCACTTTCATTACCGAGCAACGAGAAATATTAATCCAATTCAATTTAACAATTTAATTTCAAGCAAATGGTCATTTTAATGCAAGAGCTAAGTGCACCCCAATGAGATACTAATGAGATTAAAAAACAACAAAGTGACATGTAGAGCGATGTGGCTGGAATTGTCAATTGAGACATGATAAACCGTGCCTTGGTGTGTCCAAGACGGTACTGGTCAGGATCTAAACCGGCTCCCTCGAGGATGGCCGCAGCGCACTTCTTTGGATCGCCACCGGCTTTCTCACACGCTGCTGGAGCGATGATTTTATACCTAAGGATGCGGTCGGCGGTGATTGGATTTTTTTTTTTTGGCGCGCACATAAAAGAAATGGGGAGGGCCGGATTAAGCCCCTATTAGTATGTGGAATATCAGTTGGGTTTTGTGTGTGTGTGGGGGGGGGGAGCGGTAGCTCCTAAGGCTATATTATAATTCTAAATTTATTAATTCCTAATATACAACAAGGACAACTACTGGGATTCGTGAAATTGGTCAAATCTGGTGTTTGTTTGTTTGTTTGTTTTTTTTTTTCTTTGTTTTTTCTTTTGCTTAATGATCGTTCTGCACATTCGTCTCTCTCCTATTTGTTTTTTCATTGACTGCTGGCCTTAATTGATGTACCCTCACGCGAGATCATATATGGCGGATCACCTAAAAATTGGTTAAGCGTATTTGACGGTACAAAACTATCAAAACTATCTAGACTGGGGACACACATTACAGGGTAAAAATTCTTCTTTCAACGTCAATTTCTTTCAATGTCGTAACAGGAAATTGAGAGTTTAATTTCACACTTAATATCCACGATAAGCCGAGATATAAGGTCTTATTCTTCTTTTTTTTTAAATTTATTCACAAAATGAATCGCAGGGAAGATTATCGTGACATTTGAATTCTCAATTTCTACGTTTGAAAGAAAAGCGCGTCAATTGATATCGGGTATCACTCGTAAAGATATTTTGGGACTGATAACAAACATTTACTACAAAACACGGGGACTGACAAACTTATTCTACAAATCTGTCCATACTCATGTCCAAGGGAGATTGTACAATCTACAAAAAAAAAAAAAAAAAAATAAAAAGAAAAAAAAAGAAAAAAAAAAATTGTTGTTTGATGTAATTAGATTTTCAATGTAAACCGTGTTATGCTACTCAATTAACAAACGATCAAATATGAAACTAATGAATTTGGAAAGGAAGTGGATTTTGTAAAACCATTGGCCTCTAAATACGTGTTCCATTTATAAATTTGCTCTCTGAGGAGATAATTCAACTAGCCTTAGTATGACCAATCCTGTAGTTGTCCGAATCTAATTGGATAGCTTCGAAACAGGCGGCGGCTGATTTCTTTGGATCTGTTTCTGCCTGCATTGCAGCCGGTGCTAAGATCATATAACTACACGCCAAGAAATTTAATTACGATAGTCGCTTAATTATAAACTTAACCCTGCATTTTGTTCCTTGATTAAAGCATTGAAGCAGCGTCTCGACTGCTTATCAGAAATTATTCTTTCACGAATTAATAATATATTGCATATGCAATGCAAGATCGTATTCGAAAAATTAATAATCATAACGTCGTGTCGATATAGCAACGGCTATATTATTTTATTTCTTTCCAAGACATACTTTGACAATGTCATAAAACTAAATTGAACGAACTAAATATTGTGAATGTCTTATTGTGAATAATATCTTTGTATATATGTTGGATAGCGTAATCTGTAGTAAGTAGACGCTCGTATTTGAAAATATTCTAATATTATCATTAGCAAGACTATTCGTAATTCTCCAAGATGCTAATTTATAGTTGTTATAATCCCGTAATTTATTCGACACACACATATATATATATATATATATATATGAAGTAGTTAATTTATTTAAAAGTAGACTCTAACGGCATGGATAGCTCCGTCGAGTATACTATCTAAGTAAATACGATATCGTTTTCAAGAATAAATAAATTTTAAAAGACTCACCGTAGCTTGAAGTCAGGATAAATCATCCTGTTAGGGAAACCTTTACGGCAAATACGGATTCCTTCAAGCACACCGTTACATGTTAGCTGGTGCATAACAAGATGCGAGTCAATGACGCCCGGCTGCTTCAACTCGTTGGGAATGATACAACGGACGAAGTGAGGCTGGGTGGCTCTTAGCGTCGTCATCAAGTTATTCAGCTGCTCCTTGTACGAGGACGAGACAGTTGAGAAACCACCTCCCTTCTTACCACGGCCACCGCCTCCCTTGCCACCGGCATCGCCCGATTGACCAGGATGATCGGCGAATATCTCCACCAACAGCTTGTTACCTGACTTCTTGTACTGGTCGACCAAGGTGTCGTTCAACGGGTCCTTGTTCTTCTCCAGCCAGCCAGTTATGTTGTACGGCACCTACGTTCCATCAGATAATTTGATAAATTCCGCCTATATTTTACGTATTCGCCGGTCTTTATTGCCACGAGTTTTACCAAGTAAAATATCTACGTCGTTACAAAGAATCTTATATATGATTTTTTGAATTTTTTAATAAATTATAGCTTACGTTGCCGGCGTAGTGACCAATGGCGAAGTGAGCCGCCTGCTGGCCTGGCTTAGGTGGCTTAGGCTTCAGGAAGTTAGGACTCTTGCCGAGATGATTGTTGTTCAATTTCTCCTCGAAGGTTTTATCCGTTGCTTTCGGGAACATAGACTCTTCTTCAAGGATCGATAAGATACCCATGGGCTATGAGGTGGAGGAGAGAAACAATATTTGCGACGTTAATACCAATCTCGTTAAATCTTATCTTCGTTTTCTGTGCGTATAAGAGTAGCGTGCTTTTTAATATAAAATGTGTAATAAAAAAAAAAAAAAAAAAAACTGCCTGCTGTATTGAATAATCAAACGCCGTAATGTGCTTGTAGCTAAAACTTTGAACATTAATAATGAACTTCGTCGAGAGACGCGTGATTACTTGCAATGTTTTAAGTAACAATTTCAACGAACAAATTAAGAATTATGACGAGAGTGTCTGTTGTATACGTTACCATACACGACCGTTTAAGTTTCCGTTAATTTATGAGATAAGTACGGCCATTCAAAATCAATTTAATACCAATAAATGTAATAGAGGTAAAGTAATAAAAAACATTCGTCCGATTTTATGCGAAAACTTCATTGATAAAGTTGCGGTTAATTATGCTACTCATAAAGTTTGATCAATACCAAAAGTTACATTCTTTATCGAGTAAAATTTTTCAATACTTCAATCGTTAAGATAAAAGTTATTAAAAAAAAAAAAAAAACAAAAAAAACAAATATATATATGTGTGTGTGTGTGTGTGTGTGTGTGTGTGTGTGTGTACATACCAGCGTGATTAAATATGTGAATTATTAACTAATAAAGTAAGTAATTTTTTCGTATTATTAATTACAAAGAATAAAAGGTAATCGAGTGAGAGGGAAAGTATTTATTTTTTCTTTTATTTTTTCAACAATTTTATTGATTAAAGTATCGAACGTTTGAGTCATAAATTTTTATTAAAATTATTCATATTTGGTAATATTAGGATATGTGGAAAAATAAAAATTAAAAAAAAAAAGAAGAAAGAAATTTTGTCTTTAAAACGAACGGCAAATGAGCATGAAATTAATATTTAATTGAAATTCCATCCGTTTCATCTGGAATTTTCATATTATATCGAGTTTAAATGTATTTAACTTTAAATGCGTGAATGTTAATGCACATAAAATTATATTTAACTAAATATGTCAATAGACGATGAATGCGATTGAAGATACAACATATTTTTTTTTTTTCATTTCTTAAAGATATTTTTTAATTAAATCTTACTTTCCGAACATAACCGAATAAAGTGCTATTTAAACAACATAAATAAATTGATAAAATTAAACCTTAGTTTCATCGGCAATTGCTCTACTTTACAATCATAAGAAATGAAGAATTAATCGTCACGTGCCCCGATTCCCAAATCATCGATTCCTATAGAATTTCACAACTCTGTTCGATACTCTCAATACCGCCATATTACTTAATTTATTAAAGTTAACGATAAGCACAATTTTAATATATTGCTTTTATGAAAAAAATATATGAATCGTTATATTTGCAATTAACCAAACATATATTTTTGTTCGACAGGACGAGGGAGGTGAGCACAGACATGTACTTGACATGTGGGAGACGAGGTTGAACACAAAAAGCGCACATGTACTTGAACATTTAATATACATACTTGTAAGGCAACATTGATAATCGATGCAGTAAGCCTTAAAAAGGCTAGCAATGCAATGCATTCTTGAGTTGCGTGACGCTATTGTTGCTTTTACATGAATGAGAATAGATAGATAGAGAGAGAGAGAGAGAGAGAGAGAGAGAGAGAGAGAAAGCAGTAGGCAATTGATTCCTTACCTTTTTAACGCATTGAATTATTGTTTGTGTAAAATTATACCAGAGCTGATAAAAAGTTCACGTAATACCATCATTTTATAATTGTCCCCACTCACTACTCAAATATACAAATACATAGTACGGCCAAAGCTTTTTCATTCGTTCCTTAAGTTGGTACAGTGTTAAGGAAGCTACCCAATCAGCGTGTAGTGGTGTGCAAGGAGAATTTGAAAAAAAGCGAAAGATTGTTATCAAACTATAAAAGACTCGTGAAATAAGTCGATATGAAGACACTCGATTGCACATTCTCTTCGTTATTCTATACAACAAATTATAAATGTTGTGCACTGTTGTGCCATGAAATTTATTTTAATCAAATTAAACGTCGGAATGAGTTTATCTATCGAGTGCCTTAAAGATTAGTATGACGAACTGTCAGTTATTTATGATGGATTAATACGATCATCCGATGAATAATGTAATGATGAAATAGATTGTCATAAATGTAGAGTGTAAATTTGTTGAAAAGTGCTCTAAATAAATTGACATGCACATATAATAACTATTCGTTCGTTAATGAATAATGCGCTTGAAATCGTATCATGCATTTTTTTTTTTTTTTTTTTTTTTTTTGGTTCTGTTCGCTTAAATATTGAACATTGAATTCGTAGTCTCCACTTTGTATTATGTAATATTTCTGTTCATTTCATTTAGGGACTTTGATCTCCCAGTGATTTAAGAGATCTTCATTCGAGCTATACCTTCTCGATGAGATCAATAGTTTGTTGGAGATCCATGCCAAAGTCAATAAAAGTCCATTCAATGCCCTCGCGTTGATATTCTTCCTGTTCAAGAATGAACATGTGGTGGTTGAAGAATTGCTGCAACTTTTCGTTGGTGAAGTTGATGCATAGTTGTTCAAAGCTGTTGAACTGTGTGTGTGTGTGTTCGAATTTGCGCAGTGCGTCGATGATAAACAAAAACATAGAAAAAGGCAGGACAGTGGTCAAAATACTGTTTTTGCCAGATGCATGTTATGGTGATAAATGGGGTGGGGGTGTTGAAGGACGATAAAGCCATATAATCAAGTTGTCTTTGAACTTGTTTGTTATTAATAATCAGAGTCAGACAATGTAAGAATTTCATGCCCGACTCTGAGTCCAAGCGCATCGTTCAAATGCCACTTGTATTATAATTATTATAATTTTAATTGTAAAGAATGAGGATTAAATGCTACTTCGATACAAAATCTGATTTTTTTTTGTTTTTTTTTTTTGTTTATCGAATAATGCTTGGATTCGTTTAAAATAAAAAATATATCTTTTTATAGTATTTGAGAATGAACGCGTTTATTAGTTTAATCATTTTAATTTAATCATATGTAAGCTCAATGTTATTGGAAATTTTATGATAAATTTATCTAATCGGAGAATTAACTTTCTTTTGCCGGTTGAAGAGAAAAGGGGTCAAATAATATAAAGATAATATTCAATAGGGGCGGGGGGGGGGGGAAAGCAAAATGTATTACAAGGCGAAAGTAAAAATTCAAAAAATAGAAAAAGCTCTATATTTTGTTCGAAGTATAGAATTAAATATTATTATGTACAGAATTATATATTGTTTAGGCAAGTTTTAATATTTATTTATTTATCTACTTATTTATTTATTATTTTGTTGTTGTTGCTGTTGTTGTTGTTGTTTGTTTGTTTGTTTGTTTGGATTTTGTTTAATAATATTATTGAGTAAATTACGACAATAGAAATAAATAGTGAAATTAGTCATGACATCGGATGGATACTTGTATTATGTACCTTTTTTTCCCACAATTAATGACTTTTACATGTACAGGTAAACACAAATTCTTGCTCAAGCCACTGTTTTGTACGATCAAACCATGTAGTTATTCTGATTTAGAGAATAATCATTCTCTCCCTTTTATACTCCATTGATGGTATCACGATCCATATTGATTGCATGTGCCATTCAATCATATAATGCTTATATTATCCTGGACTAAGTTCAGCATTACAAGCGATAAAATTCATACCGAGGCAACAAAGACCCATTCTGTGTATTTGGGCCGATACGCTTATTGTTTACGTTATCAAACATACGATGATTGACATATTTATTGATACTTCTAATTAGTGAAGTTAATGCAGAGCTGTTTAAAGCCGTTGTTCTGCATAATTTGGCGTAGTACATAATGGAAGATAAAGGTAAAGAAAATATAATAAAAGAGTGAGAGAAAGAGTGAGAGAAAGAGAGAGAGAGAGAGAGAGAGAGAGAGAGAGAGATAGAGAGAGGGGGGGGTGGAAATGGAAACCGAAGCACACACTAAGGTTATTATATTCGGTTATTTGTTTTAGAATTTTGTAACGTTTGTAACTAAGTCACATAGGTTTTCACACAATCTATATCCATGAGATTTTTATATAATAAATAATTCAATGAACAACAGCAAATCGCAGGTGAAATATATTGCCATTTAAATGTCGATTAATGATACCCGAACAGCTAGCAAGAGGTAAAACACCGATAAATTGCAAGTAATTATATTGGGGTAAATAAATAATATAATAATGATGAAGGGATGAACGTGATGGGAAAAGCTGACTATTATATGATTTACTGATGCAAAGACAGGCACAAAGACAGTCACAGTTGTAAATAATAATAAACAATTCAAAATCTTGTTGATTGTGAGCTCCGACTGTTCTCGCTTGAACATCTCAAAGCATTACAGATTACATGCAGAAAATGAGGAGAACCGTTATACCAAGTCCTTGTTACACTGTACTAACTACTTCAGTCGTCTAATTCTAAACAGAACGATATCTTGTCCATTAATCAATTACGTATGTATTATGTATGTATTTGATTTTATGTATTCTCGACTGGCTAATGGTCAGCCAGAGTAGTGCGGCTGTTCTTAATCCAATACCTTCTCAATAAGCTCGATACACGCGAGCAGATCCATGCCAAAGTCGATGAAGGCCCACTCGATACCTTCGCGTTGGTATTCTTCTTGTTCGAGTACGAACATGTGATGATTGAAGAACTGCTGTAACTTCTCGTTGGTGAAGTTGATGCAGAGCTGTTCAAAGCCGTTGTACTGCGCGTTTGAAGTAGCGCGTGATAAAAGCATAGAAACGATACATAATAATAAAATGGCAGTTGACGCCACGTTTATCTTTAAGTATTTATTTGCTGTACTTGTTCTACGTGTGACTGACTGAAAGTAGTACGTAAATAATAATCCTTTAACATTGGATCATTGAGATATCGCTCTTTGTGTAGTACTGGACCGAACTTTATCGTATCGTTAACACATGGAGAATCAACAGGATTCAAATCACCTTGGACAACTTTCCGATCGAAATAACAATGAATAATGCACAAGGTATCACGTATGAAGAAAAGAAGTGAAAAGTATTGGATTTGAAGCAATAAGCATAATGATAACAAATTATATAATTTGTAATTGACATAGGGCACAAGGATGTATTAGGTTGTAATGAAACAATAGACTTTATCACATTTGAATTGACGAATGAAGAGAGAAAAGTGTGTGTGTGTGTGTGTGTGTGTGTGTGAGAGAGAGAGAGAGAGAGAGAGAGAGAGAGAGAAACAAAAAACAAAAAACAAAAACAAAATAAAAATGAAAAAGAAATAAACAAATGATGTATAAAGAAAATGATAAGAAAAGAAAAGAAATGAAAAAAAGACGGGCACTAGGACAAACACAAATAAAAAATTAAAACAGTGGACGATAACGATTTTCAATGACGATGTTTATCATTTGTTTTGAAAGCGTTAGAGTGAGTGAACGAAGCGAACAACGCAGCCGATATATTAAGCTCTTGTTTTGTTTCTCGTTTAATCGTTCGACTCTGATTGGGCCGAATGTCTTGTTAACGAACCAATCAGCCATTCATTTGCTTTATTAGCATTTCTTTGTTTATACTGGTACGTAAATGACCAGGTCGCTGGCGAGAATTTTACTCGTCAAGTACCTTCTCGATAAGCTCGATACAAGCGACCAGGTCCATGCCAAAGTCAATGAAGGACCATTCAATACCCTCCTTCGTATATTCCTCTTGTTCAAGGACAAACATATGGTGATTGAAGAACTGTTGAAGCTTCTCGTTCGTGAAGTTGATACAGAGCTGCTCGAAGCTGTTAAACTGTTCGAGAGCAAATGGTAATACAGTGGTCAGATCTTTTACTGATTTTGTATCAATTAGCCTGTTTGTTTTTCTACGTTTTTACACTTTAAATTCCTTAAAAAGTTTGTTTGGCTTCTTGTCTTCGAGAGGCACCTTATTCAATCGATAATGTTTGCTAAGGGTCTGCCTCGAGCATTTGTCGACTGTTTTTTGTTTTATGTTTTGTATTGTTTTGTTGCGTTGCGTTTTGTATTTTCTTTGTTTTTTTATTTTTTTTTATTTTGTTGTTGTTGTTGTTGTTGTTGTTGTTGTTGTTGTATTTTGTTTTGTTTGTTCGTGTTCGATGTATTTTTTTTGTTATACTTAATTACGACTGATGGCGCTTATGTATACAGCGCATAAATATTACATGCGGTATTTATCATTCTAAAGTAATATTTTGATTGGCTACGATTAAATGTTGGGAAAACAGAGAGTACAACAAGTTGATATTGACATTTCTCAATGATTGTTAATAAATGCTACGATTCACAATTGATGTAAATGTCCTGTAAAATTTTTCGTATCTTAGGTCAATAATAATTTTTGTCTAGAAATTTCCAGATTAGAGTCTCGTTCATCGAGAGATAATTTTACATTCTGGAATATTTTAACACAAATTATTAATAATAAGTCCACTGTTTTGAGTTTCGAGATATATTGGAAAATTTACAGGGATTTTCTTGTTGGTGCAATCGGGTATGGCTGGCGGGGTGGGGCGGGCGGCTGAAGATATCGTCATTGGATCAGGGACAACAAGAAAAACAATGATTACCTTTGGAACAAATGTTCACTGTTGACACAATTGCTGGTACTCAAAACTCGTCTCATACTCTCTTAGGTCGCATCTTAATTAAGACGCAACGTTTCGTATTCTTAATGTTGCCCTTAAGCTTAAATATTGAGATATTAAACATTAATTACACTCAAAGTGGCATTATAGAGAATATTGTAAGGGACATTCTCGATAATGTGAATTGAGAATGTTCGATAATATGGGAATTAAAAGACGGTTCGATGTGAAATTCTTAGTCTTAAAGTGAGTTTGTGTCTAGACAATTGAGATGATAATTCAAACTCACATTTTCATGCTAACAGCAAAAAATCATTTCATAATGAAAATTGTTCTGAATTGATTTTCGATGCGAATTTAATTTTAATAATACAGAAGTGGGTTAAACACTGGTTTTTAAGAAAGAGAGAAAGAAAAAAAAATTGGCAATTTGCTCAATTTTTGAGGATTTTGGAGATAAAGAACAAACAAATCGAGATTGTTTTGAGCGTTGGGGTGGGGGGGGGAGCACAATCTACCTTTTCGATGAGTTCGATACAAGCGAGCAAGTCCATTCCAAAATCAATAAATGTCCAATTGATGCCCTCTTTTTTGTATTCTTCTTGTTCGAGTACGAACATGTGATGGTTGAAGAATTGTTGCAATTTTTCATTCGTAAAGTTGATACAAAGTTGTTCGAAACCGTTGAACTATGAGTTTATCAAATTAATAATTTATTTTTTGTTTAGGCGAGTGTAAGGCATACAACTGCGTGGTCGCAGTATTGTTTAGATAGTGGTTTTGGATGATATGTCATAATCACTTTAATTGTCGTATTATTTGATACGGACTCGATGACAACACAGCGATACCTAAAGTGGCTCAAGGGATATATTCTCGTACTATTTGGGATTAGGCATCATTAATAAAAGAAATTCTTGATTTAATATTATTAAAATTTTTAACGTAGGAGTAACTGGTGGGTTTTCCTTGTTTTCTATTTTCTTAATATGATACTTTTTCATTGGGATATCAAGGGTTTGGTGTCAATTTTGTAATTAAGTTACTTGATTCGATTCTTAAAGTAATTAAATTAAATGATAATATCATTTTATAATGAAAATTTGAAGACAAGTGAAGCAATGGTCTTTCGATCATTATATACTGCAATACGGATGAAATTAAATAAGTAAATCTATGAGAATCGTATCTTAGTAACCAACAAGTACTTTTCAGCGAATCATCTGGATTACTCACGTCGAAGATTTCAAAACCAGCAATATCCAGTACACCAATGAAGTGCTGACGCTTTTGCTTCGTATCCAGGGTCTCGTTACACTTTTTCACAAGCCACTTGAACAATCTATCGAACATGGCCTTTGACATAGCTCCAACAGAGTACGCGACCTGATCCTTGTTACGACCCTGGGTTACGAACTCATTACCGACCTTGATCCTTGGTTTCAGCAAGTTCTTGTACATATCTTGACAGTCACATCCTAGAAGCTTGGCTACGCGTTCACCTTCCTATTAAATTAAACGCATGCAATTATTAAAAAGTTCGACAATTGTTAATACAGGAATGTCATTGTATTGAGAATTATGTACAAAATTATATACACTGGACAGAATTATGTAATATTATTAAAGAGGAATTTTCAATGGTAAACTTAAGAATATTTATAAGTTATTGCGATCAAAATGCATTATACACAAATTATACTATGCGTCATTGAAATTTATAATTAATCTGTAATAATGAATTGAAACATCTGTAACGGTGATTATACTAATCAAGTTTGAAAAATAATTTATAAACTCGTGTGATTGAATGTACCTCGGTGCCATCAGCCTCAGCCTGTTCTTCACGACCTCTCTGTTTGAATTTCATGCCACCCATATGCATGACAGCGGCGGTGATTTTGTAAATGTCATCCTTCTCTTCTTGAGTAAAACCCAAAACGTCGAAGGCTTTCTACATTCGGTAGGAGAAATAAAATCAATAAACTCCTACAACGTTAATACTTCAAAATGGCACTGCCAGATGCAATAAAACTCGACAATTCTCGAATGAAGTAATTTGATCATTTTATTTACATTCGTATAAATTGTTTGGTTTTTTTTTTCTTTTTTTTCTATCTTTTTTTTTTTTTCTTTTTTTTTCTTTTTTTTTCTTTCTTTCTTTTTTTCTTTTTTATCGATTCTGGCATGAGATTTATGAAGAAAAGCATAATTAATTATATCATAAAAGTACACAGTATATTCATTTAATTTACATAAGCCCAAGCAATTAACACGAGCGTACAAAAGCAGTATGAATGAAAGCATTTAAAGACAATAGACGTTTTAAGCTTCGAAAGTATGTCTGCGAGTGTGTTCGCATCAGGAAGTCTTCGTTTGAAAAAAAAAAAAAAAAAAAAAAAAATCAAAAATTAAAATGTAGATAAGCATATAGAGCAAAGCATAAAAGCAAAATTTTTCGTTTATTTTAGTATGAATGACTGTAGAAGGTTATTTCGTTTTGTTGTATACAGTGGAATGATAAAAAAAAATAAAAAAAAAAAATAAATAAAAAAAAAAGAAATACAAGTATTGATATTAAGACATAAGGAAGACTTTTTAATGTGCGATAAAAAAAAAATTAATGTTGTAAGCAAACAATACACATGAGTAAAAATAGTATGGAAAATTAACAAATAATAATAATAGTTATAAAGGTAGAATGCACTTTTTACGTTGAAAAACATAAACAGTTTGTATAACAAATAGATCACTCAAATTACTACGAACCACTGGTTCATTGGGTTCTTGAAAAAATTATATTCCATTTTACGGATCTTTCGTAATCAAGAACCGCGATGATGGTCCATGGATCTTATTTATCACAGAAATACACATGTCATTTGCAGTCCCAACACCATTTAGTGTGGCTTTTCTAGCTTTTCGGCCATAATTCGCGTCAAAATTTTTTTCTATACGTTTTGAACAACAATCAAATTTCCTAACTTATGTTTTACTGCGAAGATAGTGACTTTCACATTGGAATATAAATCATTGAATGCAAATAGTTTTACTGGAAAATTAATTGTCGTAAAACGATATTAAATGTTTCTTTGAATCTTAATGAATGGTAACAACCATAAATTAATATACTTGTGGAAGTATAAAATTTCATTGATTCAGATTGCTATTTTATGGCTCAAACTAAATAAAATCCAAATTTGGGAAAAGGTATTGTTTCAAAGATGGATATGGAGTTATAGAGACAGATATATAAAAGAGATAGAGAGAGAGAGAGAGAGAGAGAGAGAGAGAGAGAGCGGAGATTGGACGGAATAGAGAGGGAGTAAAAGAGATAATAAAGAGAGATAGAGATCGAGTTAGAGGGAGAGAGAGAGAAATTAAAAAAAAAGAAAAGAAAAATTAATAATAAATATGAGAAACAAACTGTATAGTCAAACGTTTTAACACGAGGTTCTTGTAAAATGGGGGATACATTTTAAATATTAAACTGAAATTCAAAGTAATAAAATGTAGTATGTACAGTAAGAAAATCGTGTTTTCTAATAATAGTTATAACGTATATTTCTGAGGAAACACCTATGTATAAATAGAATGCTCTACAAACTCAACAGCAATTCTTAAACATAAAAAAGGGAACCGAAACCACTCAACTACTTGATTTCACAAGATGCATACAACAGTTGTTCGTGGACTTAAAAAGGGTCGGAATAAAATTCATTAACAATAAAACGAACAAAGATTTCTGTATCGATAATTAGAATTAACGTAATTTCAAAGTGTCAGGTAATTTGTCAAGGGGACGGAACTTACGTCCGTAAGACCCATTTCTTCAGCGTCGTCGATTCCAGGGATCGTAATCTTTCCTTGGGATACGTTGTAATAGTCGTAAATGTTGTTTGATAAGAAACAATTCTCTGTAGAAGAAGTTTGAATTTAATTAATAATGTGTTTATGTCCTCGTTACGTTATGTCCGAGGCTTAGCATAAAAAACTAACAGCTATTTCGAAAGAATTTGATTTTTCAAATTGGACGCTGAGGCATATTATATATAACATTGATATACTAATGCAATGAGTATTATTTATTTTATGATTTATCAAGATATTTGACTTTCGTTTATCACGAATGGGAAGGGGCGCTTTTGTGTCTCCTATTCTATACACAATACGTGTAATCGTGATTTACATAGAATTGATATTTGGAATTCTCCTAGCCATCTCCATTTTAGGCTATTTCTATCTAACGAACTAAAAGGAATTCGCGTTTTTGGTTCGCGCAGCCCCATTAGGAGCCCTCGCCCTCCGTAAAAGGGCCATCCTCTCCCACCCACCGACTACAATTTTTTCCATAACCATCGTGAGAAGGTTCTCGTGCAAATAGAAGGCTGGACACGCGTGTGTGGGGGGTAGGGGGTGGAGAGTGGTGGGCAGACCGACAATCGGCCCTCGCTCCTTAGTCTCTCGACTCGTGCTTCTGACATCTGATTTTATTGTTATTGTTTGAGGTGTGTTTGGATGCAGTTTGTGATGATTGTATTAGATTTTTAAAGAGTCTCGGTGGTCTGAAGTTGTGAATACCAGATCGAAAGTTCGCATACAAAGATCTTTCCTTAAGTCGACTTTGCAATAAATTAAAAGAATTTTTCTAATTAATACGATTCTATTTGGATATTACTGTAGCAACTGGAATGAATGCATTTGGGTTAAGATAAATTTAGCCAATGGTTTCAGCAAACGATATAAATACTTTACGTAAATGGTATCCACATCTTGCTTTATTCATTTTTCACTTTTTCATTTGCTTTTTTTTTCGCATTTTTTTTTTTTTTTTTTTTTTTTTTATTTACTGTTTTTCTTAATTGAATTTCATTTAATTTTATTCTTATATTTTATGCGTTGTTTTTTTTTTGTTTTTTTTTTTTTTTTTTGTTGCCAAAACCATTTATTTTATAAAACAATTTATCATCGTTCGAATTTATATTGAGTTTATTTGAAACACACCCACGTGAAATAAATCAATAATTCAATGAGATCTATTCTCAAGTATTGAAATTTACTTATTATTATTTAAACAAGTTTCAACGCACATTCGTCACCGTACTTAACCAAAGTAATTATTAGAATTTTTGTAACAATTAATATTATTGTAAAACCTTACAGAGCTTATTGCCGAGGACTTCGTAACTTGAAGACAATGAAAAATCTTTAGATAATAAAAATCGATTTATTTTCAGTGGTTGCGAGGAGTATTTAATTGATTATTTTTATAGTAATAAAATCATCAAAATTAAAATGCAAAAATCTTTGAAAGCATCAAAAACAATATGTATATGTCTTATAGGAATATATGAATGAAACGTTATACGAGCACTCATAGGAGCTGTGCGAAAGGGGCGAAGGGTGGGGCGGGATATAAGGTCAGATCGCCGTGTTTGTTCTTTTGGACTTACGTCCGTATCTTCCATGTCTTCCGCATCGTTGACCCCGGGAATTCTCGTCTTACCCTGGCTAATGTAGTAGTAGTCGCCGATCCGGTTACTCAGCAACGTCATTTCTGTATTTTGGTGTACATATATATACATACATACATACATACATATATATATATATATATATATATATATATATATATATATATATATATATGCGTGTTTATGTGCGTGTGTGCGTGCGCGCGTGTGTGTGTGTGTCTGCGTGTCTGCATTGATGTGCATGTATGTATATATGAGTGTCAATGTGTATACATATATTTATGTATACACAGCTTCCGTAATAAATTTGCGAGAAAAATCAGAGACGACTTTGGCTGGCTATTTGTTGAATGGTTGAAATTGGCCAGATCGAATAGGACATTTATATACTATAAAATTATACCAGGATGCCCCGCAAAATTTATATATATATATAAGCATATACGATTTTATATTTAGTATGGCTTTTCAAATCTCTTTCGTTATAATAATAACTTCATCTCTTTCGCTCCCAGCATAAAAATGTTTAAGTTATACAATTCAATTTATAATACAATCTAATACAGTTAAAAGGTGCTTTATAAACATAATTCAAATAAATATTGGACTATTTAGCAATGAAAGTCTTTAAATTTTCATGACACGGTGATACTTTGCTTTAAGTTTTATTATTTGTAAAGATATAGGTTAAAATTAAAAAAGACAGAGAATTTTTAAGACAGTGATGAAAAACTGAGTAATTGAAATAAAGAATAAGCATTATTTTGAAATACGGTAGAAAAATATTATTTTAAAAGTAGTTTAGCTAAAGATGTTTAGAACATGAAGAAATACAGTAATAAACGTATAATTAAGTAAATAGAAATAGAAAAAGATTATTATATAGTTTAAAACATACGAGATATGATTAATGTATAATTTTGTTGTGTACATTAAAAGTTTACTCTTAAATGTAATGGCTATTGTTTTGTCATGCTTGTACATATATTTATCAGCGATAGCGCTATGCTTAGGCTAAAGAATGCGATAAGTGTGAAGTAAAGTTGATTATCATGATTTGCAACAGATAACGAAAGGCTGTACGTAACAGAGACAACATAAGAAACAGAGACAACATACGAAACAGAGACAGCATACGAAACAGAGACGTAGAGATGACATACAATAAATATTCATGAAGAAAAAGGTATTAAAACTAGGATAAGTTTTAAAAATACATATACAGCTGCACACTTAAACATCTAGAAAGAAATGCGGTAAAATTCAGTATTGGCATGTCACACTAAAGTTTATTACTGGCCAGTAATGATCCAAAAATTTCTTTTGGACTCAACACAGATTAAAGACGTTCCTCCAATTCAAAACAAAATAAAACAAAAACAAAAAAAAAAACCAAAAAAAAAAACAAAAAAAATTGACGAAAAATTTGCAATATTGAAATCGTACAGAATAAAATCGGCTCATTCTAGACGAATTAAAAATTATTGTACTTTACTACTTTACGTATGTAAATTGTTATTGTGACAATGTAATAATATCTCTTATCGCGCACTTGATAACGCTTGTAATTTTTATAATTCATTGTTAAGAATTTCTAATAATTAGCTCGTCCTGCGTAATGCGGGACGGGAGGCGATAATTTAATTATCAGTTAATTGCATTGATAAATTGTCAAATTAGGAAGAACGTCGATAATGCAACGTCAGCCTGGTTATTGGAAAAAAGCCGCGTTCTTCGTTTCAATCGAACGCGCACTTACGTCGGTAATAAGCATTTCCTCGCCGTCGTCGAGACCGGGTATCGAGGTCTTTCCTTGCGCGACGAAGTAGTAGTCATTGATGTTTTTGGACAGCAGACACTTTTCTGAGGTTTTTGAAAACAAACACATGCTTGGATAAGCCAATGAACCTTGAACGACCATATTTTCTTATGGCTTTGATAGGATTCCTGGCACTAAAGCTACAGAGTCGATCGGTACAACTTAACCAATTCTCTTCTCAAATTTTCAATTTATTTTTTCAAATGATCTTATTTACATATTACAAGCTACCTTTAGTCTTTATGTAGCTGGTTTTTCATTTTCATTTTCTTTTTTTAATAAAATTACAAAATTCATTTTACTAAAATCAGCTACGCCATCGACTACATTCGTAACCAAAAAGAAATCGTCATACATACATATAATCAATAAGAGGCAATGTCACGTGTGAATTTATTTAGATAAACAATAATGAAAGGAGAAAAAAAAAACAAATATTCAGAGACGCGACAAAAACCTGAGAAGATAATATTTATGATATGAAATGTTAAAATAAATGATAAAAAATTATGACATTTTTCACAACAGAAATTAAAAAAAAAAAAAAAACTTGTAACTTCTCTGTAGCCTTACTTTACTTTCCCGTTTGGTGTCGGGTTTCTTTATAGGATTTCATTTTAGTTTTAAACTATTTACAGTAGAGAGGATTTAAGAAAATATAGACATTTTAACTACTTTGACATTGGGATTTGCCAATGTTTCCCGTTCTTGGGGATACACGACTCAAGTTACGCTCATTCGTGTTGGAATTCTCATTAATTTGCGAGTCTGTCAGCAATAGCCTAGTCTTTCTAGGTGTGTAGTTTTAACTGTGACCTTTCATTATTAAAAAGTCACGAACAGTGCCTTTTCAAGAAAAGGTACGAAATATCTCCTTTGCAAAGTCTATTCCGCTTGAGATATTTTCAACGCGAAAATCAACACATCAAATTTGTAATCAAATATGTACAATTCAGAGACGGCTTGTACTTGTCGATACAAAAAAAAAACAAAAAAAAAAACAAAACAAAAACAAAATCAAAATTACCCTTTCAAATATATCTAATATATAATAATTGAAAAACTTTATTTTTGTTTTTCATTCTATAGATAATATTTTCATATTTTTCAAAAAAAAAAAAAAAAATGATTGTCTCCTTCAATAGGCTATTATTATATGAACATTGATTCACTTATGTTAATAGCAAAATTATAAAGTCTCCCCGTATACGATACTATTAATATAAATTACACTTTATCCCTTACTAATGTCATTAAGTATTATGGGATGTCATTAATTAACGAGAAAGTTGTTTTTTATATCGACAAGTCTTCTGCCTTGTTCGCAATTTTCCGCCCTCGTGTCCCAGAAGAGGCTTTGATCGGTCATTATCACAATTCAACTGTCATAATCAGCATAATACGCAATCGCGATTATATTCGTAGCGTTAACAATTAACACGAAAATTAGAGCATCCTGAACGGCATAAATTAAGAAAAAAAAATTTATACTATAATTAAATAGTGATAGTATAAAAAAAAAAAAAAAAAAAAAAAAAAAAAAAAAAAAAAACAACATATAGAAATGAAAAAAAAATTAAAATAATTCATCTGAATATTTATGTATAGATTGTTGTCGAATCATAATATAAGCATAAAGTTACTTATAGTCAGAAATTGCCGACTAATTCAGCAATGAAATTGCTAAGGCAATATCGCGCCAATTTCAAAATCAAAATTTAGATTAATTGAATTATCCATTATGTTTAATTGCAAAACAAGCCAATTAAACCTTTGGCTTAATCAATAATTGAAAATTATTCATCATCTCAATCGATCTCTTTTTTATAATAATAACAAATATATACATATATATATATATATGTATATATATTTTTTAATAGCAGCTTTATAATTCGAAATAGCAGTGTAAATGTTGTTTGTCTTTATATAGGAAATAAAGAAAACAATGTCTCTTTCACTTTGGTACTGAATGCCGACTCTGACTGAAAGCAACTTATCCTACATGGAAAAAAAAAAAAAAAAAATAATGTTCGACAAAAACGAATAGAAAATGATAAAAGTAATCTTATAGACAAAGTTTAAACCGCGCGTATCTCCTTACGTCTGTGAGTTCGCATTCCTCTCCGTCATCGACGCCGGGAATCGAAGTCTTTCCTTGCGCGACGAAGTAGTAGTCGTTGACGTTGTTCGAGAGTAGGCACATCTCTACGCACGAAAGTAAGGTAGAGAAATTCATTGATAATATGCTACGAGGTGATAAACACTACACATAATAATAAGAAAGTAAAGAATCGGAAAACACATCCTCTGTCTCGGGTCATTGAACACATCGTAACCACTGCTGCTATGCTGATTAATTTTTTTCGAATGAGGGTCTAATATGTCTTTTTTAAATGCACATTCTAACGAGCAAAGTGACAATTAAGCTTGCTCAACTTTTACTTCTCAAATGTTCCTATAACTAACTTAAGATTAGATATCGAGTCGACTTCGATGCCATCACAAACACTCGTTTTATATTGTTTGCCTTCTTTTGCATCAAATATCAATACATCAAATATCGATTATCCGAATGATGAACAGCGGAATGCGATTGTTCCGAGCTTGTAAATTACAATTTCGTAATAGCATTGACCAAATAAATCTTATTATAAAACTCAATGCTTGCAAAAGGAAGCTTCAATATAATGGCCATTTTATCAACATCGAATCGTTGCTCGATAAGCCTATGTATCGAAATGTATGGTCATAACAATTGTTTAATTATATAATAATACTACCAAAGACTGTCATTGAAACACTTTAATCTTACCCTTAAGACCCTTAACAGAGCCGGACATCATCTGATAGAAGATGTGGTAAGAGCGCTCCAATGCCTGTTGCGAGATAACACGAGCCTTTTCCAGTAGATCTAGCAGATTATAGAAAATATTCTACTCATTATCACCTTCCACTATAACTTTTTAATTGTAGTGCTTTGAAAAAGAAAAAGAAAAAAAGAAGAAAAAAAAAAGAGAGAAAAGAATAACTGATACTTTTTCAAAAAGTATCCAATTACTATCTTCGATCCGATAATAAAGCGATTGAAAGGAATTCAATGATTCCGTTCTCCATATTTGATAATAAAAAATTGAAATAAATAACTAACTGAAAAATTACGCTTTGTTTAAGATATTTCTAATTTTTTTCTCATCTTTTGAAATTCATGAATAATAATTTTTTCAATCGCTCTTAGTCGGATGAAAGGTTAACAATTATTAATGGAATGAAAAATCAACTTACAGGTTTCAATATCAGCACCAGCTAACTTTCCAGATGGACCGAAGTGAATACGAATAAATTTACCCTAAACGATTAAAATAACGTTCGATTAAAACATTTAAATAGTGTTGTTATTGTTGTTGTTGTTGTTGTTGTTATTATTATTATCATCATTATTATCATTATTTTTATTATTGTTAATGTTGTTGTTGCAGATTTTGTAGTTGTTGTTGCTGTTAACATTGTTAATATATCAAAAATATCTTTAAAGCTTATAAATAGTGACTACAGATACTTCAATAATCCTATGATTGAATGACTTTAAGTGTTAATGAAAGACTCGATTCGACTGAAATTGATTTACATGAGAAAAGCGTATAGGTGTTCGTTCTTATACGTGTGCGTATGTATTGACGTATCCATATATATATATATATATATATATATATATATATAGTTTGTTTTTTGTGTGGGCTTACGAATACGTAAGTAAATGAAAGGAGTGTACTTACGAAACGAGAAGAGTTGTCGTTACGGACGGTCTTGGCATTACCAAAAGCCTCAAGTACGGGATTCGTCTGGACAACCTGATCTTCGAGGGATCCCTTCTTCTCGGAGGCAGCTGGATCCTTTTTCGTCGACGCACCGACAGTGGCGAAGTACGCAATTACCTTCTTCGTGTTCTCAGTCTTTCCGGCCCCAGACTCACCGGTGATCAACATAGACTGATTTTCGCTATCTGCGCGCAAAATAAGCGACATTACACGCAGATCCTTATGCATCGCAACTAGCCAAATCATCGCGACTTTCGTCCTTCTTGCAATGCCGAGAAAACATCGGCATCGATCATTATTCCGAATACGTCGTCGCTCGTGTGAGCGAAACGACTGGTGCGTGTGCTCGCGCAAAGTCATAATTAATCATAATCGCGTTACTTTTGATGATAAACAAAAACAAATAACAAAACAAAAAACAAAAAACAAAAACAAAAACAAAAAAAAAAAAAATAAATAATGCATTGGTTTTTGTATTAATATCTTAGCATCCTCGAGTTCAAGAAGTCATTATGAATGAAAATATCTCCATAAATCTCCATAAATAATATTAACAATATTCCCAGCACAATACACTTAAAGATTTGCAATACTATCGTTCCCAATTACTAACTCATCCGATCCTGTAATTTCCATATAACTTATTCGACCTTGAATACGTACTGGTCAACATGTTAACGTAGGCGCCGTCGGAAATGGCGAAGATGTGGGGTGGCACTTCACTACGCCTCTTACCACGATACAGTTTGGCACAACGCTGTGTGTATACGGGATATCTCTTGTAGGGGTTGATGGCCACACAGAAAAGTCCGGAGTAAGTCTGAAAGGTAGAAACGTCGGTGTCAGTCGGACCTTATCGTTTATTCCCAGACGTCGTAGTGAACTATCGAAATTTACGGAAGGAAAATAGTCTCGAGTCGGTTCTCGTGACAACGAGTTGTTTGTTGTTGTTGTTTGATTTGAAATGAGAATTTTCCTTCGTCGCACTCGTACGAAGTCCACTGGGAGCCGAAAGTTAATATCAATTTGTCGAAGATTTAGGCATTGATCGTCGAACTGTAGCGTTCGTTGCAAAATTTGAAGAAGTACATTGTACGACACGATGGTGTTAAAATGTTTAAAAAAACACACGTTACAATGCTTATTGATTGAACATCTTTGGAAAACGTTAAATCTTTGTAAAATTGATGAAACGATCGGCTCATAGGGTACACATTATTATTGGCAACAGTAAAAAAAAAAAAGAGATATTATGGCACTCTATCACAATTCAAAACTCACTGAATTTAGTCACGAATTTATAAATTACACATAATATTGTAAGAAAAAAAAAAAAAAAAAAAAAAAAAAAAAAAAAAAAAGAAGAAGAAAAATGAATAGGAAAGAAAAAAAATTATTCAAAGAAAATAACGTAAAAATCTACTATATTATTATGTCGGTTGTTCGTCAATCGTTCGTCAATGGTTCGTCAATCGTTGGTCAATCGCTCGTCAACATTGTTGACAATACCAATGCTACGAACAGTTTGTCCATCTCCGTAGATTTTCACGTTTGTAATGTATGATAATTTATAACAAGACAACTATAAAATTCTCATGACAAGGGTCGAACAAGTCTGTTGTTTCGAACACCCCAATGACAGGCTGAAAATCACTTTTATTCGTAAAAAGGTTTATCAAGTTTATTTAACTTAGAATTTGCCAACCTAAATGAGTGACAAATGCAATTAAATTGCCTCGATCGTCACGCTCGTCCAATCACGTTCACGACTACCTCCGTTCATCCCGCTATTTACAATATATATATTTTTTTTTTATTTTTTGATTTTTTGCAACGTTCGATAAGTAAATTCTAAGTTAAATAAGACACAGGATGCATCGCAACACGTCTTGGTGCATTGTGCGATGTTCCCCAAGAGAAAACAGGCCAATAAACTTGGTGCTAGCGTTCTATGCTGCACTTATCCACATGAACTCTAAGATCCTTGTTGGCTATCTTACGTAGATAAGTTTGTGGTAGTAACGTTGCTTGAGATTGTGAAGGACCGATGCATCGTTAAGGTACGTCAAATTTGACATGTCCTCGGCCTTCTCATACTTTGGTGGATTTACCTGTTGTAGCAGGTCCTTCTTCACGTCCCTGGTCTAAAGCGTTTGGAGAAAAAAGGCGACGATTAGTTAGGTTTTATGATCAAGGCACTTACGTAAATTAGCTTGGAGTAGTAACGCTGCTTGAGATTATGGAGTACGCAAGCCTCGTTAAGAATTGTGAGATCGGCCATGTCCTCGGACCTTTCGAATTTTGGTGGATTTACTTGCAGCAGTTGATCTTTTTTCAGCTCTCTCCGCTGAAGTTTAGTCGTAAGTCGTGTGAATTTTTCTTTTTTTTTTTTTCTTTTTTTTTGTTTTTGTTTTTTGGAATTTCGAAAGACATTTGTTTGTTATTATTTGTTTTGTTTTGTTATGAAATGATTGAAACATAAATATAATGTGCTAATTTCCTTATTCTACATGAATAGGTAATTGTTTTTGTTTTTGTTTTTTCTTTTTTTTCAAACGTCGATCATCTTGTTTGTTTGTTCTCATCTATCTTTCAATGAATTCATACTTAATTTGATTTGATAAGACTATTATTAATAAAATATTTGGATTTTGGTAAAAAACGAAAATTTAGATAACATGGAATTTTTATTATTAAATATTGAAAATTAATTACTTGTATGGATTATTATTATTTATTAATATTTGTTTATTTTGTTGTTGTTGTTGTTCTTTCCTAATGTCTTTTACTTTTATTATACTTCATTAATCGACATTATTTCGGTAAAACGAATATTGTATTTTCTGGCAATGGTCAATTAAATATATGAAAAAAAAAAAAAAAAAAAAAAAAAAAAAAAGGTTTTTTTTTCTTTATCGTGTTAAATTATTTTAACAATTACTGTATTCGGCAATATAAATATTATTTGAATCTGTGTGATGCTAAAGATCGTAAGAGAAATCAATGTAGTAGCATGAGAGGTAAAAAGCACAAGTTGCCGATAATTTTAAGCACTTAATGTACATTTTGTAACAAAACTTTTTATTATATTATCGCAAATGGCAAAAAAATGCTCTTTTCTATTACGATGTTTCATGATGATGATGATGTTTTGAGTCTTTGCCAACGGAAAGTCCATGCAGTTTCATATGTTACGACAGGAGGTCGCGAGTCACGAATATAGATGGTATATAAAAGAGCAGTAATATTGGAGAAATGTGATCTCAATTTCCATTACTCGATCAGATTCGTAGAAATTTTATTTTCGTCGTCAAAAGACTTTCATGAATTTTATTATTCTCTCGAAGAATTTCAATGCAATTATGCTAATTTGCCTATTCAAATATTCGAAAAATTTTATCGTATAACAGTTACATTCTGTAACATATCGGCAAAGTCAATTGTGTTTATAATAATCAAATACAAACTATTTATGGACTTTTTAAAAGCTTTACTATTATACCTAAAAAATATACGTATATATTTTCAAAATAATTATCGAAATTTCAATTTGAATTAAATGCTTATGATTCATTAGAAAGAGATATTTTTGAAAAAGTGCAATGATTTACAATTACATGAGTACAGTCCCATTTAGCGTAACATTTCATTTACTCTTTACAATATATACTTCGATATTAAATAATAATAATAATAATAACAATAATAATAATAATAATAATAATAATAATAATAATAATAATAATAATAATGGAATAATGCGTTACTTTTGAAAGAAATACTTAAAGCTGAAAAATGACCTAACCAACATAAGAAGAGAGAGAGAGAGAGAGAGTAAATGCTTTAAAAACTATTGAAGATTTAATAAATTAATCCCTTTAAAAATGTAAAATTGAATCTCATTAGAAAACTTGAAAAATAAAATAATTTTTAACAACGATTTTCAAACTTATTAAGATAAACACTGTCGAATTTAGCTCATAAAAATATTTCTTGGTGACACACAAACGCCCGTACACCTACGCGCAACCGTATTTACGCCCACTTACTCAATTAACCCACACACATGTAAAAGAATAACAGTTTATTGTCAACTTTGTATTTAGGAGAATTGGAGAAGCTAAATAAAAAATTATGATTTGGTTCATACAGATATGAGTCAATTATTTTATTTCATCGAAGATGGAGAACAAATATGTGAGTGAATTGGGGCATAAGGAAGTACGGCAAAACATTACATAGAACGAAGGTAACTCGGGAGCCCCTTGCGTAAGAAAATCTCCGTAATGCTCGTGCTCATTTTGCTTCTCACTTTCTCACACACCCTCTCACTCTCTCTCACTCTCTCTCTCTCTCTCTCTCTCTCTCTCTCTCTCTCTCATTCGTTCTCGTGTTCTCGCTTTTCTTTTGACGTGTATCCCTCGCACTCTGCGAGCGATCGTTTTCTCGCATCTCGCTCGAGGCGCTTAGCTCTAAAAATATCATGACCTGCGTTTCGAGATGTGGCTTTTCGGCGTTTTATTATTATAGCCGGCTACCGGTATCCCTGCGTGTGCAAACGTGTGCGTGAGCTTAAGAAGCTCTGCTTTGCTAACAATAGCGTTCGAGCCGAGGGCGAGTCAACGCTTGAAGCCTACGTAAGAAAACCGAGAGTAAGTGTGTGTGTGAGAGAGAGAGAGAGAGAGAGAGAGAGATGACGGCGACTACTACTACTAATACTACTACTACTACTACTACTACTACTACTACTACTACTAATACTAATACTACTATTACTACTAATACGGCGTTTGCAACGATTTTCTCTTGTGTATCAGATTTGCTGAACCAAAGTAGAGAGCAACAGAGAAACTAACTTGCTTTTGGTTACGTAATCGACGAGAAAAGCTTACTTGGGATGTTGAAATAAAAAATTTGCTTACTTGCTCTTCTTCCTCTTTCTTTCAAAATATCTCAAATTTTATTTCTTAGACTATTTAATAAATTGCATGAAGAAGAGAAATGTTATTTTAAAATATGTCCACAAAAATTTTACAGCTATTTCCGAATGCTCTATAAGTTTTATATTAATTAGAAAAAATCAAACATACAAAATTATTTTAAATTATTAAACCATTCGTATAATTAATAAAAAAACAAAAACTTATTGTCACGTAAGAAGTGGCGTATTTTCTATTTTATCGATGCTTCAGAGCTTAAAAAGTTCCAAAAACCATATTTTTATAGGCACATTTTGAATGTTAGATATTTTTACATTCAAAGCTCGATTCTTTCTCAATCTACTTTTCTTGAAATATATGTCTGATTCACCATTAACCTGTACAGCTTTTCTAACCTTGATTTTGAATAAACTTACCACCTACTTTAAAGTAATTTATTTATATTGTCATAATTCTTATTTAAAAATAGCAAAAATTAATTTTAGTAACAATGTCTAGTAATTTATATTTTAGATTTAGCTGTTACGTCAACAGTCAACAGTACAATATATTCTTTTACAATTAAAAAATCTATTATATTTCCATTTGGTATATATTTTAATTTAAAATATTGACGTAAAGCAAATTAACAAAAATTTGATAAATCTAGGCAAACGAAATGAGAAATGACATGAAATGTGGTCGTCAATCTTCTCTTATGTCAGTTTTTCCGTTTAAAGCTCACCAAAATCTTAACGAAGGGCTTGTATTATACAATTGCACTATCTTCGGTACTCTAATTATAGATTAAATTATTACTTTTAGATTCTTTAAAATAGAACCATCACTTTATTTACATACCCTATAAACACGGTGACTACAAATTACGGTATTTATAATGCAAATTAAAAAACAAATGTGATTAATGTTTTATTCGCCGTCAAAAGTTCTAATTATATTATAATAAAAATATATATTAAAGTATATATTGAGAAAGTATATCAAGTAGATGTGTGTGTGTGTGTGTGTGTGTGCGTGTGCGTGTGTGTATGTGTGCGTGTGTGTATGTGTATGTGTATGTATAAAGGAAATTATGTAATAAGCACAGAATAGTAGATATTGATATAATTTAATAATCAAGACAAAACCCGTGACTCTCTATATGCAAATTATCGACATTAGAATGCTTTATACGTAATTGATTATATCGTTTAATATTATTCATAATTAATATATTAATTATAATAAGTAAAGGAGCTTATAAAAATCTGTTGGCCTTCATCCTTTGAGCAAGCATGGTGAAAGAAAGAAAGAAAGAGTATATTTATGGGATTACAGTAAGAGAGAGGATGCGCGTCGAGGAAATCGCATAATTAGTAAACCAATCCGCCCGCTGTCTCTTTCTCAATCCCTATCAGTTTCTCTCTTACTCCCTCACTGTGTATGGTCGCGAAGCATGGGTTATGAAGGTACGTAATTCTGTTCTTGAAATAGAAGTCAGAGCACGTCCTGATACGGTTTGGCTGATGGTTTTGTAGATGCCGCCGACGCCTCCTCCTCCTCCTCTTTTTCGCTCATTCTCTTTCACGCCCCCCCCCTCTAACTCGCACGTCGACCAACTTCGTTCTACTCTTTTTATGTGTACAAGTCGTGGTCCAATGCTCGCATTCTCCGGTTAAACTACTTCTATTCATTCTCCCACCATTCTCTCACACTTTCTTCCCTTCAACTAAGCTAAACTTCAAGTTGCAAAAAAAAAATTACCGACCGACCTTCCATTATACCAATAGAGATCACATTTCGCCAATTTTTTTCAATCATATCTAGGCGAGAAGAAACGTTTCAATTTATCCGAAATCGTGTAGTTGTCATTTTTAAGTCATGGCAAAGCAAAGAAACTAAAGTAGTACAGATCAAGTTTCATGGACAATACCAATTTAGCATTGGCAATTACTTATCATAAATTTCATATTACCGAAATTATTTATTTATTATTGTCATATTTATTATCGTATCATATTTTTACTCTATATTTTTTAACGATGCTTTATATAAGCTAATTTTAAATAATTATTACAATTGCATAATTTTTATCGAAATTATTTAATTTTTGTTTCATTTTAAGCTATTTAATTAAAGTTTTAGATAATTTCATCGAATATTTAATTGTAATGATTAATAAAATTCTCATCCTAAATAAAAAGAAAACAATTTATAAGCATTAAAATATGTATTTTAAATCGAATAAATCAATCAATACATGTTATTTACGAAAATAAAATTAAAAAATTCTAATGACGTAAACATAAGCAATTTATCAAAATATTCTCAGTATATATATCATCTTAGATATATTCTTAGATAAATTATTAATGACAATGTCTTATTATAATCTGTTCGACACATAAAGCATAATTTTCTATATTTCTATAAGATAACTACATTTCATTAATTCATAAAAATAATCAAGTTGCATAATTTTAAATTCAAAAGTAGTCAAGTTGAGATAACCAATTGAATTGAAAAAGTTTCAGTTATAAATTCAAACCCTAATACATACAATATATTTATAAAATTATTTTATAATTATTTTGATTATTCGGAATAATACATAATACATATTATTGTTTATTGAGTGTTATTTTTCATAATTGAGAATTTAAAAAATTGGCTATACGACAAATCCGACCGAGTTGTGTCACTTGGCAGTTATAATTTTGCTAGTCTTTCACAATAAATTGAAAGGTTTCATAGATGTAAAAGTAAACGGGGGGACAGAATCTTCGAGAACTTTGAATTGCACCAAAATAAAAAAAAAAGCGCGAATAAAAAAAGTCCTTCGGATCTAAAATACTTGGAAAACGTTAATATACTAATAACGTTCTGCATAATCTATTTTTAGGAAAATTAATACTAATGTCTCGGATTCTTTAGACTTTTACGATTGATTTCGATTTAAATATAACATACTTTTGATAATCGAACAATGATGGTATTGTCGTATGTAGTCATTTTGCGTTTATCCTACTCTTACTTAAAAAAAAAAAAAAAAAAAAAAAAAAAAAAAAAACGTATACGCAAAAGATGAATATTGACGACTATAATTCGTTAAGGTTAATAAGACACCGTCGATACTTTTGTCGAAAGCATCTTCTATTAATAGTTTTTCATATTTTCGTAAAATAATAATAGTTAATAGAAGCTTATCACATAGTGCACGAGACTTTAGAATCTTACGCGTTCACCTATATAAAGAAGCCCCGCGGTACTGTTTTAAAAAAGAAATATTATAATCTACGAATCTACGAATTGCGCCCATTGGCCCATATAAAATGCATGGGTTTCCATACATATGTTTCGTTCGGACATGTGCTTTATCACAAAATCGCTAGAACCGAATTTAATTGAAATTTAAAATAAAATCAGTCGACGGTCCTCGCGACACGAAATCCCGATCTATTAAGGACGCAAGCAAGAGATAAAAGTCATTATGTACGCACCTCACCACCGGGAAGTCCAATGGATACGATATCACCCTTGGTCGCTTTAATCTCACCAAGGAGATAACCTTCCTTCTCATCGGGAATCCAGCATGCCTTTTTCGCATCGTAGGGCTTCGTCTGGTCGATTCTCTTCTGCTCGAGCGAGACGAACAGATAGGGGGTCGGATCCGCATCCTCATCCTGTTTCTGCGGCGCCGGCATCTTGATTCAAGACTATCGACAGCTCCTTCGCTCCAAACTCTCGAATAAAAAAACAAGTGACAAAGAGAGCCTGTCTCTCACTGCGACTGGTCTATCCTATTGTCCCAATGATCGTCCACAGCGTCGTTGCGTCGTTTCGCGATTACGTTCTTAAATTAAATTCGTATTTCCTCTACGTCGTGTTCGCTTTCTCAGCCCTGTTGTGAGTTCGTCTTCCCGGGTCTCTAGCTTCGGCGGCGGACGGACTGCTTCTGTCGGCACGAATTGGGCGGCCCTGCGGGGCAGACAGAAATTCATAATGAGTATCGCGGCGGTGCATGGCGCTGCTGCTTTTTCCCCCCTAATCCCACTACCGCCGCCCCCACTCACTCTCTCTCTCTCTCTCTCTCTCTCTCT